CAAGAGAAAAACAAACAGAAGTTTATTGACATGCATACCTCCTGTCTACATGGGAGACACCCAGGGAAAATGAGTAGCTCAAAGAAGTGGCTCAGACTCCTGCTTAAATACCATCCCCCAATAAAGACAAAAGGAGGAAGGTGTACAGGAGGAGGTCGCAGGAAAGGTCAGGTGAAGGAGGGTTTAAGTTGGTGCCTCTCCGTGGATCAGTCTCTCGTGATGTAGCCTTCCTTCTCTGCCTGGTGCAGAGTGAGACATCCTCACAAAGAAGAGATTTCCTTTCATTTCTTTTACAAAAGGGTGACTTCTACTCTATTTTCAGAGCTTCTCCTGTGTCTGCTGTTTCTTAAAATAATCGGCTGAAAATAGTATGCCAAAGAGGTATATTTGGGGATGGTTCTGCTACTCTTTAGTGCCATTTAAAGAGATGGAAAAATAGTAAATGAGTAATTAATTAATTAACCTAGGAACTAATTAATGAATCTGTGGCCTGCTTCATGAATGCAAAATACTGATGTGGCTACTAGTTGGTCTTTGAAACACCTTCCTGCTCTTTATCAGCAGAAAATCCAGAATCTCCCTCTTAGGTTTCCCAACTCCACCCTCACACAGCCAAGAAATAAAGCCTAAGACTGACACATTCTGGAAGGGAGCAGTCTTGCTTCTAAAGGCTCGAGGGTGAGCGGGGCTGAAAGTCTGTTCCTGGAACCTCTGTGGCTTCCTCTGCCCTGCGGTGTCGCTGTTGAAGACTCATCCTACTTCCATCTGTTACTAGGATGCTCTGAGGATGCCCAGAGCTCAAATTTACAGCTCTTATTACTTTATGTCCTTGTACTCAACCTGTGTTCCTCAAAGGACAGTCACTCATCAGGTTACTCCTCAGAGTCCTAAAAGGCTCAGATCCTCAGACACTTTCATGCCCTCAGCCTCTACAAATGCTTCAGCCCAGGCTGGCCTGCCTCGGGTTCATTCGGCCTCCATGATTTCCCCTTTGAGGTGTTAACTTGAAGCAGGGACTGAGGTCAGAGGTGACCCAGTATATTTCTCTAGTGTGGGATCTCTTGTGCTGGGCTGGGAACTGATTTCCCCCTCCTACAAAGGGTGGTTCTGCAAACTAACCCTCCTCCACCTGGGCAAACCTACAGGCTATTACACAGGACATATTACTTCATGTAAACAAAAGCTGGGCCTTCCCCAGGGCAATGGGGGAAACCCACCCTACGTTTGCATAACAAAGGAACCACTCAAGTGACTTTCCTTGATTCCAAGGTTGTATCACCTGATGCTAGCAAACTGCAAGAAGGAGCCTAACAGACTGCCCCCGCCCCTCAAGAAAGATCTCAGCAGGCACCCAATAGAGTCCCAAGTAGCCTATTACGTATTATAAATGTCATTCACACAAAATAGCTTTCCTTAATATGTTGAGCAATATAGGTTATACTTAATATTCATGTTATGATCTGAGTATTGCATGTGTCTGCTTCTGTGTATGGAATATATTTGTGTCACTTTATGTATTTTTCTATATACATGAGAAGCATTTTATCTATTGAGGTATACTATGCCGGGATGTTTTAAAATAATAAATGTACGCTAAGCAAACTTTTACTTCTGTGAGCTAATAACTCAGTCAATAAATGTATTTTTAAATGATGTTTTAAGAACAATCAAGGAGGACTTTCTGCATTCAATAGCATGTGGTCCGAATTCTTAATTTTTGTTTTAGTAGAATAGAAAACGAACACAACTTGCTATATAATTTAAAAAATATATTCCATTGGGTTCCCAGTGTCAAAGTGAGGATCTAATTGAAAAGAAGTTTGTGCACATTGCAGGTTCTCCTTATACAATAGTGTGTGCTGTCACGGCTGCCTGTTACCAACAAAGTCAGGTCCCTTGCTACTACCTTAGGTGCCAAGTAAGGTGCCTGGCACCTAAATCAGGTGCTGGAATGGTTCTGGATCCAGGTGGACGAGGAGTGGACACATCCCTTAGGTCCTATTGGGCTTGCGGAAAGTGTCCTTATGCCTGGAAATATTCCAGGGAAGCCCTGTGGGAAACTGAAAAACACGATGTCCATCGTCTTAGGAAGAGAACATTTTTTTCTAGGGTAATAGAGGGATAAGACTGACGCAACTAAAAATATTGTTTTCTATTTTATGGCAAGAAACTAGAAAGATTCAGAGTCACCAAAATCCCATTTGGAGAAAAATATTTAAGAGAAAAATGAGTAAAAGGTATGTTTTGGCACATGAAAGAATACAATCATAAAAGTGAAATGAGTGCATGCTTCATCAATAGCTTTGTATGACCCTGAAGGGGGAAAAGCAATTTCTGACCCCAACGTAATGTCCTTGGTTGGGGACTTTTGTATTAGTCTCTGAATAAGCTTTATTGCGTTTACCAGGAAACATCTTTCCACAATTCATAACTAGAGGAAAATAAAATGAAATTTATTTCAAAGACCCAACCAATGTATTTCCCACCGCACTGTTTAAAATTGTTTCTTTATTCCCCTCAAGTCTTCCTTTTGCTTTAACCCTAGATAACCCCAGGAACTTTTTATTTTTATTTCATAATTCTAAAAGGAAAGAGTAAGAGTTTGGGTTCATTTCAATTCGACTAATCATTGGTGATTCTTGCACTGGTGATCTCAAATAATTGGTGAAGATACAAAAATAAATATATACATCCTTTGTAAGCACATATATAGATCTATTTTACTATAACTCACATTTCATATAATTGTCATAAGCTTAGCTAATTACGTAGATGCAGCATTTCTGTTTATTATATGACATGAACTTCGTGAATATATAACTTTTTAATGGCATGCTCTATTATTATTACAGATGTTTCAAATGAAAATTTAGTTTAGAAGTGGAAAAGATACTTTCAAAAATGAATTAAACCTTATATTATTAAAGGACACATAACCATTAGGGAAAATCAGTGTTTCATATACTGATATTCTGTGGATCTTTATTTGGAAGGATTTTAAGAGGTTTATTGGGGAAAATGTACTCTGTGATTACATAAATTTAGGGTACACTGGATTAAACTATTTTAAAAAAGGTTTTTTTATTGTAGGACTTCTTTAAGCCTTTAAGCCCTAATATGCAATGGGAATCTATAAGAGGCAGCTAGAATATGCAATATTTGCCAATCTTGTTTGACCAGATACCTATTTATAACTCCCGGAAGTACTCCATAGAATGCTTGTTTTCGTAAGTCTGATATGTCTGTTGAAATTCTTATTCATGTACAAAAATATTTTCTTAAATCTTCTTTATTAGGTAATATGTGTCTGCTTTTAATCAATATTTAATAAAAATTTGGAAAGACAAGTAATAAAAACATATCTCGGTTTTAAAATTTACAATGAGGGGCCCGCCTGGTGGCATAGTGGTTAAGTGTGCGCACTCCGCTGTGGTGGTCCGAGATTTGGATCCTGGGCGTGCACCAACGCACTGCTTGTCAAGTCATGCTGTGGCAGCCTCCCATATAAAGTGGAGGAAGATGGGCACGGATGTTAGCCCAGGGCAAGTCTTCCTCAACAACAACAACAAAAAAAAGAGGAGGATTGGTGACAGATGTTAGTTCAGAGCTAATCTTCCTCACACACAAAAAAAAATTTACAATGAGACTCATCCATGATCTCCTTGGCTTTTCTTCTAAATTTTTATTTTTAAATTAATTTAATATTGCATATTGTATAAATGTTACTATGAATATTACCAAATAGTTCATAGTTTAAAAAGTAAATAATTGTTTTAATGCTATATATTTATTTTTTAATTATTTTAATATCATATATACTGTGACAGAAATTCTCACTTGGAAATGACTATGTCATCACGTGTGTCACCACTTGCTCAAGGAAAGGATGAAGTTTCTGTGAAAAGATGGGATATTCAGTCCAATAGACAAGATTTTGAATGTACAAGAGGATTTGCTTATAATTTTTTTCCTGAAAGCCAGAGAAATCTCAGCAAAAGTAGACCACAGGTAGATCTTAGATTCTTTAGGAATATTACTCAAATGGCAAACTCAAGATCACTTGTAAAATATTCGTTCAATGCAGACGCCATTTTGTTGCCTAGATGATGGCCACCATGGCTTATGATCTTGGTGACTGAATTCTATAATTACTATTCTAGATTATAAAATTCATGGTTTACGGGTGTGACACTCCTGACTTTCTAACCATAAGCTTTGGGTCCTCGAGTCTCTCCTGCCTTCCACTCTATACCTGTCTTCTCTTGGGGTGGTGTGCTTGCTTTCTACTAAAAGGATCACCTTCAGTGACTCTGATATGTCATTTCCTGCTGTCTTCCCATTGAAAAACCTACTCTGAAGCTCAAACACTTCCTTTCTTCTTGATATGCTGAGAACTGTTTCCAAATAAAATTCCCTTACTCAAAACACTAATAATAATTATAACAGTGATGAGGATGACGGGTATGAAACGCCAGACATCATGCTATGGGATTAAGGTATAACTATGATTGAGGGCTTTCAATGTCCAGCATTACAGCAAAGTAAGTACTTTGAAAATATATCCACTGAAAATATGTTAAAGGTGCTGGGTAAAATTGTTTTTAGCCTTTCAAAATATATCACTGAGCATGCAAGAAAATAAGGAATCCTCGGAGTTCCCCAAATGTGAAATGTAGAAAGGTGATGAAGCTCAGGAGAATGTGTGTGTGTGTGTGGGGGGGGGGTGTACTAAGTAAAGCATGATACAACTCCTTGATATATTCCATAATTGGTTGCATTTTCAACAAGATTTTACTAGAATCTGTTCAAAGTAAGCATAATCAAGATGCATGTTATTGAAGGTATCCTTGGGAAAATAAACTCTTTTCCTATGTTCATATGTGGACAAATGATTCGTTATGCCAATCAAGAGTGCTTCAACCCACAGGAGCCACAACACCTATATGAGTGTGGAGACCGTGTTTCCAGTCATGTGACCTGGTATTGTCCTTTCTTTGTAGCATCAATCGCATCCACCTGCAATGATCCAGGTATGCCTCAAAATGGTACCCGCTATGGGGACAGTAGAGAGCCTGGAGACACGATCACCTTCCAGTGTGACCCTGGATATCAGCTCCAAGGACAAGCTAAAATCACCTGTGTGCAGCTGAATAACCGATTCTTTTGGCAACCAGACCCTCCTACATGCATAGGTATTATGCAACAGAAAATAGAAATTTTATATTTTGGAATAGATGCATGTTAGCATTAAAATTGCTCTGTAAATACATTTCTCAAGAGTTTCTTACCTGCCCTCTGGTCCTCTGAGACTATATTGAAATTTTATTGTAAACCTTTCAACTTTATTTTATTAGGTGAATAAGGGAAGTAGTTTACTTAATGTACAGTAATTGACATTTATCTAACATTTCCTATCTTTAACAAATCTTGTAAAAATATGGATGAATCAAATCACTGCAATTTAAAATTCTGCGTGGCTGAAAATTCATAACCTTACCATTTCTAGTCTCATTTTTAATATAGAAACATGCCCTTAAGCAAAACCTACTCAATAAAAAGTACTTTCTCTTTTTAGATGGTTTTTCTATAATATCAGTACATTTTTAATAGAATCCTGAAAACTAGAAATTATACTGCTTATGTCAAAACGAAGATGGAATAGAAACTTGTTTCTGAAATTCACTAGAATTTCATAGTTTGACCTTATTAAAAGGATAACAATTGGTTTTGCAGACTTTAGTTTGAATAACCATCCAAAATATTAAATCACAAATATGGTTTTAGAGCAATATATATTTTTATATAAAATAGTAATTACATGTACATTTTCCCTTCATTCAATTAAATATTTCAGCATAAATATCTATTTAGAGTATTTCATTTTAATTTTTAAAAGAAACTCTACTAAACTTTATTATTTTAATGAACTGTCACAGTTTAACTTGTACCTTGATAATCTGTTTGAAAAATGTAAAATTTAATCTGTGAAGAGAGGAAGTGATAATGAAATGATATGCACAGAGTTAGTGGACCATTTTGCATAGGGTGACCTTGAGGGGATTTTGTGATTTAAAGTGAGTTTTAGTGTCATGTACAAAGCACTAGAGAAACTCTCAGTGGTCCTATAGAGCTGTAATAGGCAGCTCTTAACTTTTTACAAAGTACGTAGAGTGTCCTGAAGATAGATGAGATTTGATAGCTCTGCTTCTTAGCATGTTCAACCTTGTCAGAGAGCTATGCATGTTTATTTAATACTTTGTGCCACATTTACATTTCATAACTTTCGTGAGCACAGTCATGCATTTTACTTCAAGCTGAGTCATCAGGAGACTCACAAGATTTCTACATGTTTCTTTTTTAAAACGGAGTAATTACCAATAAATGCAAAAATCATTTTAAACCACTGGTCTATTTTTAAATTAAGAGAGGCACTTTTTTTTTCCCATTTTGCATGATCTTGAGCTCATGGAGGAGTACATTAAAAAGCAATACAACTATTCAACAGTTAATCTCTTGAAGATAATTTCTCAGATGACATTAATTTAACACTTAATTGTAAAATTTGACCATCTTCCCAACTAATCTATTGTCTTTTGTCAGTTCATCTCTTAGTTACCTAATTTTGACCAGAGACTAGATACTCCAGCTCTCAGCAAAGAAAATAGGCAACACTTCATGTGTCTGGAATATCAGCTCCAAGGATAAGCTAAAATCACTTGCAGACAATCGAATATCAATTATGTTGGCAATCAGACCCACCTACCCACATATGTATCACGTATCACAAAAACGGAAACTGTATATTTGGGAATAAATGAACATTATCTTTTCATTACATTGGAAGCATTTCTGGGTTTTTTTTCCCCCAGAAATGAGGCTTATACCCTCTGTAGGAAACTTGTCCATCTGGGCATCAGCTGATCGAGTCTTAGCACTCATATAAATTCTGTTCTGCTGATTCAAGTCACTTTCTATTTTAGTTTTTTTAGCTTGTTCCTTACTAAAAAATAATACATGTTTACTGCAAAAGTTATATAAGCTATAGTTAAGAAAAAAGAGAAGACAAAAACTGTCATCTTTTTACCTCAAGGCAATTACTATGAACATACACATGCATAAGGAAGCTTCATAATTATTTTATGTATGTATAATCTTTTTTAAAAATGTTTTTAAATGACAGCATCCTGCATGATTATTTTGTAAATTGCACTTTTTACTCACCAGTGCATGATGAGTCTCTTTTTGTGTTATTATGTATTTTTTCAAATTAGTTTTTATGCCTGCACAGTATCTACCAATATGGATCCCACTAATCCCTTCTTATTGGACAATTAAGTTGTTTCAGTCTTTTCCCTACTATGAAGATAACTGAAGTGAATTCTCTTGTGCCAAAACATATCTAGGACTATTTATGAATGGCGTATTTCTACAAACTTACATATTTCTAGGGCTTTCAAAACATTTTTCGAAACTCTTTCAGGAAGACGGCACCAATTTACATTGTCATCAGCCACGTGTGAGTGTTTATTTCCCCCAACTCAGAAAAAACACTATATATGATATTTCTTAAGCTTGTAATTTAATATGGGCAGGAAGTGAAGATTCTTGATGTTTTAATTGGCATTTTAAATTAATTGAGAGGCTGAGGTGTCTTTAATTTCATACTTTTATTGACCATTCCTCATTGACCTGCTAATTTCTTGTTCCCTTTTATTGTTAGCGTATTTTCCCTCATATTTGCTGTTCTGTCTCTCCCTCTCTCTCTGTTTCATGAAATCCCTTAACCTCTCTCCTGTTTGTATGTTCCTCACCTTCTCACCAGCTTGTGGTTTGCTGGATGCAGTCCCTCCCCTTTTTCACTTTGCAAAGGACTCCAGCAATGGGGGAGCCTCCTTTTGAGGTTTTCAGCTGAGATTTTTTTTTTTTAATTGAGGTCATATTGGTTTATAACACTGTGTCAGCTGAGTCTTCAAGGACCAATTCTCCAGATCAGAGAGCACTAACTACTTTCTAGCTCAGAGCAAAGTGTCCCTCCATGTCTTCATTTTCTTATATCACCCCAAATACTTTTCCTCTAAGTCCAAATTCGAAAGAGCTCTGAAAAGCAGAAGTGTATCCTGAGTTTACAGAAACTCATCTGTGGCAACATCTTGTGGTGATCTAAGAGTGGCTGTTTGGAGACTATTTACCGCACAGAATGGTGTGAGCACTGAAATGTTTTGATGCAGAAACATTGATGTGTCTCATTAAAGACTACTGCTTCACACCTTGATGGGTGAAAGGTGTTACTATATATATAACGGAGGGGAGACTAAGGATTTCGAATAAGGGATTGTGGATTGATATGAATTTGTGGATTTTATCTGTATGTCCACTCCCTCTGGAGAATTTCCTAGAGTGTCTGGGTTGTATTTTGTACTAAATTCTATTCCTATCCAAAATAATTTGCAAGCTCTCTAATTAAAACCTAATGAAGCTAAAATGAAGAATTCCAGACCAAAAGAGAAAACGAATACAGCAAGACAGTGCTACTTAATTCTACTTTAAGCCTTTAAATAACCTCATTTGAAAATGCCTCCTGGGACCGGTATGAATAAGACAAGATCTCCCCTTTGTTTCTTTTAAAGCAATATTTGAGTCTGATCCCTAAACTCTGCCTGCAAGTAACACCCTTGTAGCCAGTGCCCTGAATCTGTCATTTTTCATCTTTCCAAACCTGCGTGGAGTAGAATCTCCTTAGGTACCTTCTTTCTCCACCTTTGAGCCACCCCCCTCACCTGTCCACGCCTATTACTCTCTAGCAGCCAGTATCTACTTGGTTCTGGGAGAGGAGGGTCCTATGAGAGCCGATTAGAGAACTGTTTCAGCAGAGTTTAAAACGAAACTGCATACCAGGGGAAATGTGGTTTTAATCATTTTTGTGAAAATTATATCATAGTACTGTTGAGTGTATATCTCTAAGAATTTATTATAAATATTTCCTCTGATATTGTTCAGAGTTTGCCTTTGATGAGACTCAAATCATAACAAAAAGTACTGGAATTTGTTATATTTCTTCTTACGGAAAATTAAGTTTTCAGGAATGCTGAGTATTTAAAGACACATCCATCAAAGAAAATTATAAAGCACGTACTTTCATCTTATTTACAAAAAGTCATTTTTCTGTGTGTGTGGCAAACATCACCGATTAGGATATTTCCTTCTCTACTGATATTTTTTCCTAAATGCATATATGATCAATGGTGTGAAATAAGATATATAGTTTAGAAGAAACTGTAATCAGGGCGATTTTTTTTTTTAAAGATTTTTTAAAGATTTTATTTATTTATTTTTTCCCCCAAAGCCCCAGTAGATAGTTGTGTGTCATAGCTGCACATCCTTCTAGTTGCTGTATGTGGGACGCGGCCTCAGCATGGCCGGAGAAGCAGCGCGCCGGTGGGAGCCCGGGATCCGAACTCGGGTCGCCAGCAGTGGAGCGCGCTCACTTAACCACTAAGCCACGGGGCCAGCCCAGGGCGATTTTTTTTAAATGACTTGGTGATCACAGTATTTGATACAAAGTTATCAAATTTGATACACAGTATTTGATACCAAAAATATAAATCTAACATATTCATGCATGTATCTAATGTGAGTACTTATGAATTTTGTAGTGTTTTAAGACTTTCCACATGATGGAAGATTTAACAGAAATCTTATCTGATAAATGAAACAGTCCTAAACATTTTTAGGTTCAAGAATGAAAATCGTCTTGCCTATTAACAACATTGAACTCCATAATTATTGCCTTAGCAATAGATGTGTACACATGTAATTAAAAATTGATGACTGAAAAATCAAGCTAAATTTATCATCTAAAGTGCTACTTGCTGATAATAACACAGTAAGCATTGTGATCAAATAATATTTTTAGAGGTTAATGTTCCAGCTCATCTTCTTATTGGTTATATATCCCCAGATTATCTCTTAAACTTCATGTGTTATTTTTGTCACTTTGAAATATGGGGAAAGTATCCCAAACCCCACACATTTCAGAGGACTGTGAGAAAAATATGGAATAACAAGTATTCATTTATTCAACAAATGTTTCCTGAATACTTATATTATGATCAAAGCTTTGCTAGGCATTACAGATCCAAGAGTGAACATAAGAGGGACGATCATTATACCACTTGAAGCGTGCCTCCCAGAATGAGTAAGCAATGACTTTGTAAACCATAAGAAATGACCAAAAAATTAACAAGCCCGTAAATAGTGTTCGTAAGGATTTGTTTTTCTTCTCCAAGTTTTTTTGGTATATGTGTAGCGTGCGGTACAGGAGTATGGGGGATTAAAGTAATCTGTTCAGTTTCATTGTGTAAAGTTTAAAATTATAGGAAGTAAATTTTGTCAGCATTTTAAAAATCCTCCCTAAAAATGAGTTGGGACATTATATAAAATTCATTATCAATCACATGAAAAATGTCCAGACCTCCTGGGTTTTAAAATTTCATCTGGATAATTGTTTAATAACCCAGCACATAGTCTCTTTGATGAATCCTCTGATCTCTTATATCACATTGACCGGCATTCTTCTCTCTCCCACATTTTCCTCTTCTATGACAGCTGCCTGTGGAGGGAATTTGACTGGCCCAGCTGGTGTCATTTTATCACCTAACTACCCACAGCCTTATCCTCCCGGGAAGGAATGTGACTGGAGAATAAAAGTGAACCCTGACTTTGTCATTGCCTTGATATTCAAAAGGTACCATCTCTTGTTGAATACCTCTTTTTAGTAGAATTTAAATGTCATACCTAAAAATTACTTCATTCATCCCTTTGTAGAGTCTCCAATGTTACATCTAGCGAAGCCCTAGATCTTGTGTCTAATAGATACTACATCAGGCTGCAAAGTGATATAAATGGAAACACATTATTTTGCTTTGGAGCATTCTACTTGTGTTAGGATACACATGACATAACAACAATTACTTTTAAATACTATCTTGCACACAATGTGTTCCACATGAGAAGGCTTAATTTACAGAATATCCAAGAAAAGTAATAAAAAAAAGAGATGTAGATATATTTAATATAATTTCTCATCAATGTATCATATTTCTCTAAATGCATGATAGCTAATTCGTTTCCGTAGTACCTCTTCTCTGATGTTCCCAAACGCAGCACTGCTATTATCATTAAGATAGTCATGACTTGATAGAACTTGGAAAACAAAAGTTGGCCCAAATTCGGTTGCTGTAAAGTCTGAATTACTAGACATTAGTCATTTCTAAAAATTGCTAACTTCTCAGGGTCTGCCCGGTGGCGTAGTGGTTAAGTTTGCATGCTCTGCTTTGGTGGCCTGGGGTTCGCAGGTTCAGATCCCGGGCACAGACTTATGCACCACTCATCAAGCCATGCTGTGGCAGCATCCCTCATATAAAGTAGAGGAAGATAGGCATGGATGTTAGCCCAGGGCCAATCTTCCTCAGAAAAAAGAGGAGGATTGGCAACAGATGTTAGCTCAGGGCTAGTCTTCCTCACCAAAAAAAAAAAAAAATTGCCAACTTCTTCCTGCTAAACTAGATGATAAAAGTTCAAATATTATGATTATTTTATAAATATACATTCCAGAGAACTATCACATTATTAACATCTAGTATATGATAATTGCATTGCATTTTTTCAAGTCCCAGGATCTTTTCCAACTTTACATTTTGATTTTTGATAGTTTAAAAGATAAATGGTTCTATAGACTGTCCTATTGATCTCTTAGCTGTCCAGGGCAAAGTGGTCTAATTGCATTTATTTATCTGTCAACTGAACAAGCTTCCTTCTCTGATGTTTACATCGATATTCCAGGCCCGGTTCTGATGATCGTCTTTCACTTTCTCCTCCTGATGAGATCTGAGTTAGTGTAATTTTAAACCTCCATGATTCTGAATTTTAAGTAGTTTGATAAGCCATCATTTCCTGAATTTACTCAAGCTGCTATAAATTTACCAAATGATGAACACTTTATTATGCCACTCAGGTATTACACAAAACCAGTGAACATTTGCTGGCTGTATTTTTGGATATCTTTGTGGTTTTTGTTAATGCTAAATTCTAGTAGCTCCTTCTTTAAAACCGGGAGATTGAAAGTAAATTAACAATTAAAAGCTTTGTAGGGGACACAGAGCCTTGTTAGGAGGAGTTTCCTACCTTCCACAGAGTCACAGTGACTCTTTATCAAGGTTCCCATAGTGAAGTTCTTTTGATAACGAACTAGGTGGCAGTTATATACAAGAAGTTTTTCCACAACTTTCGGGAAGGAGGTTGAACTAGAAAATCACCAAGTTCTCCTCTGACTCTTAGATCCTTAAATCATTAGCTGACCCAATGTCACAGAAAAATCACATGCTTGTGACTTCTTCTAAGATATGCACAACTTGTGAGAGCTCAGGTGGGAGTTATCCTGGGCCCTTAGCTACTAGGTCTACTTAGCAGACGGAGGAGGGGAGCCAGAAGTACTGGACGGGGGACAAGAATCTTCAATCACCCAGGCAAAGAGGCTGGCGTTGACATGGGCTGCCAGGGTGCACTGTTTAAAGAGCGTGACTAGGGTCAGGGATGCTTTTACGGGGAGTGGGAGGCGGGGCGACCCTGGCATTACTGACAATAGAGCCAAGGCATTACATGACCTGGAACACATATGAGCTCCAGGGCTCGTCCTGGTACTTGGGGTCTTTGGACAGGGCTGCTTTATCACACGCCCCTATACACTGTGGGGCTGATGCTACTCACACATGGAACTCAAAGTAATTTGCTTTAAAAGCTTGGCCAGACTTGGGCTATTATTGGGGCTCATAGATCGGTGCAGCTATCCTAGATGGAATCAAGATTGGATTTAACAAATGGAACCATAATTAATTATAAATTTCACTCCAGACTTCTATGCATGGATTATGGTACATCCAAAAAGGGAGAACAGTTAGAATATATTTTTTTTCCATGCCTGAACATGTTTCCAGTGTTCAAAAATAGTCTATAATAATAATTAGCTATGCCAATTATTGGGTGTGCAGCATGACCAGATTCTAATAACATTCTTATAAAGTATTCCCAATAAAATTATTGTTCCAATCAAATTCTATTTGTTTGATACAATTCCTGTTGGTCCCTTTATGCCCAGTCACCCCAATATTTTACTCCTTCTTCATGTCTGACTTCAGGGAACTTGTCAAATAAACAGACTAAGAAAGCTCTTACAGCTTCCTTTAATAAGTATATTCAGGGGCCTCACGAGGGAGCGAGCGTAGCCTTGACATAAAACAGGACGGCGTGATGCAGGGCTGGATGTGGTACCAATGTTGGCTCCCTGGTGGTCCCCTCATTTGGTTGCTTCCTTCAGAATGTGGTGGGCAATTCCGGGAGAGACCCTTCATTCATGTTTTATCACTTGAATCTCCAGATAAACTAGAGCCTCTTAAACAACAGTGCATCTTCCTGATGATAAAAACTCCCGACTCTCTCCATCCCTGTTATCCAAGTATGCTGCCAATTGAAAGAAAAGAGAGCGGAAGGGCACGGAATTTGTCCGTGTTGAAGACACAAGGGCCTGATTTAGCCAGGAGGGAACCGTGGAGGCCCAATGCATTACTTGAATACCTCTGTCTGATTGATTTGTTTATTCTGGTCACATGGAGATCTTAGTCTGAACCAAGTTCACTTTTTTACTAGAGAGTGTGTATATTTTTAAAGCCCCCAGACTATCATCAGCCTTCCCATCATAAATGGTAGAGACATTTATAGCCACCTCCCACTTGAGAGCTTTGGCTTTAATTGTCAGACTCTTCAGGATTTACCAAAATATTAGTATTATAGGAGAAAGAGACTAAGAGAGAGTGTGAGAGCGAAGGAGGGAGAAAGGGAGAGAGGAAAGGAAGGAGAGAGTGTGGGAGGGAAGGGGAAAATTGGAAAATTCAATGATGGTGAAACAGTTAACTTACATGCTCTGTACCATTGTAGGGACAGCCAGGATTGGTTGATTTATCTAAGCAAGTAGAGGCAATCATATTTTTAAAAGTAAAAGCAAGCAAAAAGAATTTTTAAAAAACCTTAAGAATAGTTGGTAATACCAAGAATACGTATTTTTTTTTTAAAGATATCTTTTTTGTTTTTGTGAGGAAGATCAGCCCTGAGCTAACATCCATACTAATCCTCCTCTTTTTGCTGAGGAAGACCAGCTCTGAGCTAACATCTATTGCCAATCCTCCTCCTTCTTTTTTTCCCCTCAAAACCCCAGTAGATAGTTGTATGCCATAGCTGCACATCCTTCTAGTTGCTGTATGTGGGACATGGCCTCAGCATGGCCGGAGAAGTGGTGCGTCGGTGCGCGCCCGGGATCCGAACCCGGGCCACCAGTAGCGGAGCACACGCACTTAACTGCTAAGCCACAGGGCCAGCCCAGGATACATATTTTTAAAACAAAAATATTCTCATAAAAATCAAATCTCAATGGGAATTCATCCCTTTTGAGCCCGGTTCTTTCAAACCGCATTGCATTAGCAATTTCATGGGTACAGGGAAGAGATATTCTATCTACATTGTTAGAATTCATTTTCTTATAGATATCTTCAAAATTGTACTATATTGAACATGATGGTCACTATGTAAAATACTAATAGTATTTGTTAAATTCTTATTTGTCATAGTTATTGCTATTTTGACATTTTGATTATTCTTATATTTAACTTTTGGATTGTCCTAATTTTTTAAAATTATTATACAAAAGCAAATAAAACCATTATATGCTTTCAGAAACTTTATAGTCTGGAAAATAAGAGAAATATATATTGAGTACATGACATAATTAATTTTCTTTCCTGTAGTTTCAACATGGAGCCCAGCTATGATTTCCTACATATCTATGAAGGAGAGGATTCCAACAGCCCTCTGATTGGAAGTTTCCAGGGCTCCCAAGCCCCAGAAAGAATAGAAAGTAGTGGAAACAGTCTTTTTCTGGCATTTCGGAGTGATGCCTCTGTGGGCTTGTCGGGGTTCGCCATTGAATTTAAAGGTACTGTGATCAGCTCAACTTGCATGCAAGTTAATTTGTATCAGGATTGTTTTAATTGTAAGCATTTTTTAAATGCAATCTTGCATGTCTGTTTAATACATAAAATACTGACTTCTTTCTCGTCTGTGTGGAGAAGAGATCTGATCTTTCCGGTGGACAAGAAATTCGAGAGATATATTTCTACCTTAACTGAAAGAAAAAAAAAATGGGGAAAATTTTTTTCCAAATTCTAGGCCACTTAAAAATCAGTCATGATGTATGTAATGAAGAATTTGATGACCTTTAAGAATTATTTTAAGATGTGTTTTAATATCTTCTAATTTGTTTCTGCAGGATGACTAAATTTAAGTACATCAAAATAGCTTGGTTTTATCTCAATATTTTTCAATGTGTAAAATATCTGCAGCATGTTCTGTGTCCCCAGCACCCATGGGCATTGGTTTAATGAGGAGATCTGGCCCCAGTCAGAACTTTCTTCTTTGGTCACCAGATGAGTGTCTCCCATTTCATTTGAGATCCACCATCCCTAGTCACCAGCATCCAAAGAAAATAAACAGACAAACTCACAAACAAAAACCACCTTAACTAAGCATTTTGCTATTGTGTCTGTGAAAATAATTACATACTTTTTAAATCCATTTCTCATGTGAACAAAGAAAATACAAAGCATATTACAAAGAATCAGAGATAAGGACTTAAAATATCAATTCATGGTAGTGAGTGCTTTATAAAAGAATCATGAAAGTATGTATATTCAAACTTTTGAGTTAGGTATTAGTTATTAGAATTGTAAAATGAAATATGGGGTATGTTTCATTTCCGTTAACTCTTCAATGGACTTATATCTCTTTATATGGTTTTAAGTAGAAAATTAATCTGTTTCCCCCTAAACACCAAAATCTACAAACTTACTGAGCTTTATTAAAATGTGCAATGAAAGGCCGGCCCCGTGGCTTAGCGGTTAAGTGCGCGCGCTCGGTTGCTGGCGGCCCTGGTTCGGATCCCAGGCGCGCACTGACGCACCGCTTCTCTGGACATGCTGAGGCCGCGTCCCACATACAACAACTAGAAGGATTGCAGTTATGACATACAGCTATCTACTGGGGCTTTGGGGGAAAAAATACATAAATAAAATTATAAAATGTGCAATGAAAAAATTTAAACAATTCAGCAATCAGAGGAGTTCCTGTGCCTTTTGGATGGGCTCTATTAATGTTCATAAATAATTAAAAACAGTACTTTTAAGCATTTACCACACCCTCAGATAGTTTCTGTAATAACAAGAACTCACTGAAGTGCACTTCCCCGTGACAATGCCCATTGTATTACTGAGTGACAAAAAAAGCAACTCACTTCCTCTAAATACGAGAAGGTACTCCGATCATTGCCTCCTTGGATGGGTTACATGCTCCAGGGCATCGTAGGGTAAGTGAATCAATGGAGGAGTGAATGAATGAAGTATAATGTGCCTTCCTAGTGATAGGAAGAAAGAGCTTTCTCTTGTTTGGGCTCTTTGGCGACCAGAATAGCCATCTAAATGGCGGCTATAGCACTTAATGTTTCCCAAGTTCTCCAGGGGAGTCTGTGAAAAAATAAAATCAGCGAAAGACAAGGAAAGACAACAGGAATGATGCTTTGCATCCGGCAAGTAGGGGCTCCTGTCTGGTCAGGAGAGCAGTAGCAGAAGGGACTCTTCTGCTGATAAGGAGTAGGAGCATCGGGCAGTCTGGCAGAGTGACAGTCTCAGGGACCTGGTGGAGTTGGTCCCCCCGGCTCCCACGCAGGCGTCCTCGCTCAGAGGTGTCCTTAAGTGGAACAGACATGAACGACAGCAAAACACAGCCTGTTATGAAGTCATCTAATTAGAAAACGGGACAGACTAAGCAAAAAGAACCCGTGATTTATCACCAAACATCCTGAACTGACAACTGGCTAAATGGAACCAAAAGATTAGATGCAGTTCATTTGGAGAAATGGAGAAAAACCTGCTGTCAGAAATCTAAATTAGCAACGCCGAGCAGAAAATTGTGTAAGTGGTATTTAGCCACAGAAAACTAAACCAGAAGAGATTTATAACAAGAAATGATCAGAAAGGTGGACAAGGCAACAGGCATGCATTGTGGACACACTGAGAATTTTTTTATTATTTTATAGGAGAAAAAAAATGTCCTAGACTAGTGCTTGTATTTCCTGGACGCGCAGTCCGTTCAGTCAGCAGCAATGGAACAAGTCTTCTAGTGCACCCACATTTGTAGTTACTTGTTCCTTATGTGCTTAAAATACGTGTTCTGTGTTCTATACGGGATTTAAGGCAGCTACAAAGAATTAGCAAAATGTCACCTACCCTTTGAAATATCCAAATAGGCTTTCAATAAAGCAATTAGAGAGTTCTGGTCCCAACATGATACAGAATTCTTGCTGAGAGACTCTAACAATGGCAAAAATAGAGAGCCTTTGGGGCCGGCCCGTTGGTGTTGCAGTTAAGTTCAACCCAGGGTTCGTGGGTTCAGATCCCAGGAATGGACCCGATGCACCACTTATCAAGCCATGCTGTGGTGGTGTCCCATATAAAGTACAGGAAGGTGTTCACAGATGTTAGCCCAGAGCCGACCTTCCTCAGCAAAAAAAAGAGGAGAATTGGCAACAGATGTTAGCTCAGGGCTGATCTTCCTCACAAGAAAAAAGTAAAATAGAGAGCCTGTTAAAGGTTTTATATTATTTTATATACAAAAATATATATATTTATATATACACATTTGCATACATTGACACAAATGGTGGCTATTTATTATGCATATATATATATATGTTGTATTTTAACCAAAGCATGTATATAAAATAATATAATAGCTTCTTATAATAGATTAAGTCAGTAATTACCAAAGAAATTTCTGTTTGGCTGATGTTGATATATAAATCATTAAAAATATCATGGAAAATATTGAATAAATGCAGTTAAATTGGCCTCTTTTTCTTCCTGTAGGACTTCCCAAATTTGTACCTTTTTCCTCTTCTACTATGTATTATCCATTCTTAAGACGATGGTATGGTGAAAGTTTTCAAAGCTCGTTTCATCATTAGTCTTCTATGGCACACTTGCTACAATCTCCCTGGATTGTCTTTGTGGATTTACTAATAAGCAATAGATAAGCAGTAAGGAGAAATTTAAAGAGGGGGCGATTAATCAACATTAATCCCAGCCAAAAAAAATAAAATTCAGTCTTCCACTTATACTTTCCTGAGAGAGATCTTTTATATGTATGATTAACACTGGATTTTCTACAACCAATAAAGGAATTGACATGCATAAGCCTTCTACAGGGGAAAGATTGTCAAGTCAAAAGGAAAAGAGCTAAAACATATTTATTTTACCATTCAAGTTATCCTTCAGCCTGTATTGATATTATAACTCCATTTACACACACACTCGCACATCTTTGCACACATACACACGTATATAACCATCCACACATGAGCACACACACACAAAAGCCAAATTGTATTTTCATAACTTTCAGCCAAAAAATGAAGATGAACATTTCAGGTAACATGTATATTGATCACTTGAAGATCTACAAATTTTAGTCCCAGAGCCTTCTGACATCATCAGGAACGTTGATGGTGGAGTGTAGAATGTGGACCCGCATAAGCAAAAAGCAATTCAGATGATGAAATTACGTACAACATAATGATATATATGTATATTTTTCATTTAGAGATATTTTGGAAAGTCTGTTGAAACAAAGACATTTAAAATATTAAGGTACTAAAAGATAACTGAAATTAACCACATAACAACAAGACCGAGAGAAAAAAGAAACAGACAGTTTTGTATTTATATTTGGGAAAAGATAGGTTTTTAGTGAAAGTTATTTAACATTTCTTGAGCTTCAGATTCTCAAAATTTAAAATTGGCTGGTTATAACTCTTACCTTGTAGAGGTGTAGTGAAGATGAGAATTAAACGTACAGTGCACCCAGCTCAGTGCCTGTGTGTAACAGGCCATCAATGCAGTGAGCTGTTGGTGCTGGAAGACTGGCCCTGAGCTAACATCTGTGCCAATCTTCCTGTAATTTGTATGTGTGATGCCTCCACAGCATGGCTTGACGAGCAACGCGTTGATCCATGCCTGGGATTCGAACCTGCGAACCCTGGGGCCGCCGAGGCGGAGCAAGTGAACCTAACCACTATGCCACCTGGGCTGGCCCCCCACTGTTGGTGCTATTAAGATAGAATTGTCATACATCCAGACTCAGTGCTTGACCCTTATCCATCAGTAAACGTACTTTTCCTGCTCAGTTTGGAATCTACTCCATTCAGTGAGGGTGGTAAAAGTCACAACTTGTTTCCATGTTTATCTTCCCAGTCTGTCTAGTATTTTCAGTACGAGAAAAAGCTCTTAACTACGTGAATTAAACCAACCTCCTTTTGAGACGCCACATTCTCCCATCTCTTCCTAAGGCATGCTGTGATTTCATGTTACTGTGATTTAAGTCCAAAAGTCAGAAAATGAACCTCAATTTTTCCAGAATCAGTTTCTTTGGTTCAGTACTAAAATTCATAGCCAAAAATAAAAAAAATGGATCTATAAAAATACAATCCTGCAATTTTTTATCTAGATTAAAATAATTCAATAGCAATGTTTTAGTAAAAGGTGGTTTGAAAAAAAAGAAACCTAACTTTATTAAGTAGTTTTTCCTATTTTTCTAAGATATTTAATTAACTTGATAACTAATCATTTCTATGATGTGTAATTATTAATTGATAATTAATAAGTTGATCATTAGTCAATCTATAATTTTTTATTACCATTTCTTGTATGCCAGGCACGGTTCTAGGCACTAAGAAAAATAAGCAAGCAACCAACCAAACAAACAAAAAATTCAGATTCCTGCCCTCATGGAGTTTACAATTGTTTCTTCTACAGAGAAGCCCCGGGAAGCCTGTTTTGACCCCGGAAATATAATGAATGGGACAAGAATTGGGACAGACTTCAAGCTTGGCTCGACAGTTAATTACCAGTGTGACTCTGGCTACAAGATTGCTGAGCCCTCATCCATCACGTGTGTGATCGGAGCAGATGGAAAGCCTGCCTGGAACCGCGTCCTGCCCTCCTGCAATGGTGTGTTGGAACCAGGTTTATTCCTTCCGTGATAACTTTCCTTTGGGATGGGAACTCTCATTTTAAAAACAGTTTCACACTTGAGCACTGTATTCCTCTAGTCAGTGGTTAGGATGGCTCATAGAGCTAGCGTGGAATAAGTCTTTGACATTCCTTGATCATTTAATTTAGCTAGGGTGTTAGCCATTCTCATAGGCTTCTGGAGGGGGTAGTATTTTTCTCTCACTTAGATAGTCTGCCATCTTTAATTTTTTTTTTTTTTTTGCATATTCTAGGCCTGATCCACGTAAGAGGTGCTAATTAACCACTCTAGGTACTCTCTCTGTTTCTCTCTCCTTCTGTCTCTGTCTCTCTATATTTCTCTCTGTCTCTGCTTTTGTCTCTGCATTTCTCCCTCTCTCTCTCTACTTCTGTTTCTCTCTCTCTGCCTTTTTCTCTGTCTCTTTCTGCTTCAGTCTCTGACTCTCTTTGTCTCTGTATCTCTCTGCCTCTGTCTCTCTATCTTTCTCTCTCCCTTTCTCTCTCTCTCTCTCTCTTAAAATCGATGTGTCGTTTCCCCCAAATATCAATAGTTTGTAATTCCTCTCATCCACTTTAAATTAATAAAATCACCTCTTAAAAGGTCAGATCAACCTTCGAGAACAGACAGAACGAACCTGTGGTGATGAAGTCAGATGGCAGTTGCTCTGGTGGGCGGGGCGCTGGCAGGAGGGCCAGAGGGTGGATTTCTGGGGCCTTGGCCATGCTCCGTATCCTGAGCTAGTTGGTGGTTTCGTAGGCATCTCCACGGACAAAACTGCTGCAGCTGGGGATGTGTGACTTGAACTCTTCACTCTTCGTATGATACGCATTAAAAAGAAGATGGTAAAACCCCATGATTTCTGACAGAAAAATTGATTTCCAAGATTATTGTAGGATGAACTCAAGGACCTGTTTAGTTAGATACACTGAGCTTACAAAATGAACCTCTGTTCCTCAGGACAGCTCATGTTGCTACTGGTACCTTCTGACCAAAGAGGTGCTTTAAAAAATTAGTACAGGAAAGGTCAAAACACACAAACAAACACACCTATGCCCTTGCAGGTCCTGCTGCTTCTGAGTTTCTAAGTTTATCAGTCTTACGACTTCCAGAGCTTTTAAGTTAAGGAACCCTGTCTCACCAGGACCCAGCACTAGTTGCTGGCACACAGTAAGAACTTCATATATGTTTCTAGAGTAAATGAATAAATCAGTGAATAACTAAAATAATATTTGGTGAAAAAATCTACAACCTGTTAAATCTTCCGAATCCTACATATTTTACCCTTTAGTAAGAAATATAGGAATATAATTATTGCTACTTCTCAGATTTCAGAAGGTAAGAGCAAAGAATGATGAAAGAAGGAAGCAGATATTTTGTGGTCCCTGCGTGTATGTTGCACAGTGTTCAAATGATGCTTTTTAATTAATGTCTAAACGTAACAATAAGGTTTGAGTCAGTAGCATTATAGTTTTCCTCTGTAGAGGATTAGAAGACCATCCTATATATTCATTATATTAACTTCAACATCACATCATTCAAAGTACGTGTTAGATCCTGGGGTTTTCCTTGTTGCAAACCGTGTTCCTCTCTTGGCATGTTGCACAGGACGGGGTGGGGTGTGGCTGCTGCACTATTTCAGTTGAGAGGAAAGACCACAGAGATGTAGTCCAGTTCCAGATCAACTATTAACCAGCTTTGGAAAAGCTGAAAAGTGGCCCAGTGCCTGTGGACCTCCACGTCCTCTGTGCAGGAAGAATGAAAATATCTACCTAATACCTTCCATGGGGGTTATCGAAAGGATCACATGAAAATTTAGCTATAGAAGATATACCTGAAAAATCTACATAGATATCACATTTTCTAGAAGGTTAATATAAATTGCATCTTATATTAATTATATTTAAAATCAAATGTCTTTTATTAATATCCCAATAACCTTATAGAATTAAAAGGGTCTAAGAAACATCATTCATCTCAAATTCTTAAAACAGTAATCTAAACTCCTATTTAAATGTTTATTATTGTTATTTTTTTACATTTGAAATTTTGAAAATCACTTTTTATGTGTATAAATTACTCTTTACATATATATACAGACACACATTTGTAAAGGGCAGTACACATATGTTATATATTAAAATATATATCCTATCTAAATGCATACGTATGTAAAGAGTAATATACCTATATGAAAAATAAATTAATAAAGGAATTATGTGAAATTTTTACCTCTAGATAATGTGTTATTTTTGTATTTTAAATGATTATGAAGGCCAGTTTATGAATCAGTGCCTTCTCCTGATCTGTTTAATGAAAAATGCTGAACAACTACATCATTTAAGTTATGTTAGTTGCTTTGGGAGATTTATAAAACATGAGTTATAGAGTCTTTCTTTTCTGAGTTTATTAAAAACTAAAACGAGAGGTGTGTGGGAGGTTAACATAGTGGAAATCCACTTCAGCGAGCTCACAGGAGAAGGGGTGAGACGGAATGGCCTTGAGGAAGAGAGAGCATGATCTTGGCCGTGAAGGTCAGGACCTGGGGCTCCCCAGGGCAGCAAGGTTCCTACACGGGACAGAACAGAACACTGAGGGCAGGTGAGATGGGCACTGAGCCCCCACCTGTTAGGACGTGGGTCCATTGGGAGGCCCTCTGCCCACTGTGCCCCCTTCCCTGACGTGCAAGAGGGTCCTTGTGGACATGAGTGTGGAATCCAGCCTCATCTCCATGCCCTGCTCTCTCACCGTGAGCCATTACCCCCCACCGCAGCTCCTGAAAGGCCTGAGCCACCCACCCAGATCTCGAGGACCCCCATCTTCTGGGGAAGGTGGATCGCAGGGTGGGGGTCGGGCAGGGGCCCAGGGTTATCTGTGTAGAGCAGGACTAAGGGGGTACGTCCTCTAGAGGCAGCCAAATCCTGGCTTCACCACCCAGGGCTCAGGGAAGAAGAAAGCCTACCTCATGAGCGTTGGGAGGATTAAATGGGATACGCATAAGGGTCTCAAACAAAGTAGATGCTCAATAAACAGAAAATCTTAATTCTCTCTCTAAACAGCACACATAGTCATTTTAATATAGCAAGGACAATGACCCCAGACTCTTGATCTGCTGTCTAGTCAGCATGTAACAGTCGAGTGTGCAGTCTCAGTGTCTACAGCACATTTAAAGATACTGAAAATCTCAGCAGATGGACCGTATGAATAATGCACAAGCAGAGACAATTAAAAAGACACAATTTTGGATAGAAGTTCTAATATTCTCTCTTGTTACCCATGAAATGATCTGTGTACTCCCTGGTGTGTCCATATCCTACTTCATCCATCTCTGTAGACATTATATAAGGGGATCAGTGTGAAAATAGGAAGCTAAATTGAGGAAAGACGAGAATTTTGGACTTTTGATAAATAATAGTACTGGGGAAATTAAATTTGTATTAAATTCCAATGCAATTGGAACTTAGTGGGGGAATGATAATAAATACTTTAGCGATAGAATAAACATTAAAAAATGAAGTCACATTTGGACAATAGATACACAATCAAGTTTTAAATTAGAGATTGTTTCTGTTTCCATGTCTGAAGGCCTGTGAAGTCAAGCACCATTTCTGTCTACCACTCATCAAAGTGCACGAAACAGAAATTTTTCCTTATGCTGTTTCTTTATGTTTAAATAAAATTCAAAATCCCAAATCACTAAACCAGAAATGACTTCCCGCATAGTCTGTTTTGTTTCTCTCATGCGGAATAGCACGTCATGTGCATGAATCAGTGTCTGTGGATCATTCTGGTGACCGATTAAACTCAGGCACTTTTGCTAGATTTTAAACACTTTAATAGTTCCTGTATGATGGGATGCACTCAGTGCATTTTGGACTGATCTGTTTTAAATGCACGGTGTAACTTTTTCTTGGTGATCCGTCTGTTGCCCACAGTTTTTGTTCAGTGAAGTTTGCTATAGAATTAGAACTGAAACTGAAACAGCCCGGAGCCCCTTCCAGGGGACCACACGGCTCTTGTTTGCCCGTGTGGTTTTTGGTTTACATTCAGTTTGCTTGTGTTTTGTGGCCTTTACATGAGATACATATATTCCAATTAACCAAATGGATGAGGAAGTTTCTTGTTACCATCTGCAGTGGATGCTGTTGCAAGTCTTGACTCGTTCAGGAAATGGTCTGTTGAATATGTTAATTACCTCATGGTAAGCACATATTTATTTTTCTTCTGTTATCATATTAATATAAGAGAATTTCTAACACGAGAGGGACCATGCCTATTTCTTAGATTTACACAGTAGCATGGACCGAATAATTATTAAGAATTAAACGAAAGTTCTCTACATAGTTTTCTCAATATCACGAATGGTTTGGTTGTGTTTGAAATATGCATTTCTGGTGCTTATCTTTAAAGTCTAAGGAAGAAGATGTAGGCAGAGGCACCATTTATCAAGATAGTAGAGGACCTAAAATGCCATATCAGTTTTGCTTCATTTCACCTTTTTTTTTTAATGTTATCTATTATCGTAAAGGAATGCTCTTTTATCCTATCATTGGACAAAACAAATCTTTGTAGTTAATTTTAACAAACATATCAGACAGTGTCCTTGACAGGATTTCTGTCTGGTAATTTGACCATTACGGTGTTGGCCCAGTGATGATTTATTTTCACTTTTCATTTATACCCATCATTTAAAATTTGAAATAGATTAATTTATTTTAGATGGAAAAGGGATATTTGCACAATGATCTGCTTGAATTTTATATGGCTAAAAGAAAATAAATTTTATGTGGATAAAAGAAAATAAATTCCATTCTTCATTGGTACAGTTGTCCCTCAGTATCTGCAGGGAATTGGTTCCAGGCCCCCCTTGGATACCAAAATCCTCGGATGCTCAAGTCTCTTATAGAAAATGGTGTAGCATTAGCATAGAACCCGTGCACATCCTCCCGTATACTTTAAATCACCTCTAGATTACTTATAATACCTAATACAATGCAAATGCTATGGAAATAGCTGTGATATTGTGTTGTTTAGGGAATGGTGATAAGAAAAAAAAAGTCTGTACATGTTCAGTACGGAAGCAACCATCTTAAGCCTTTCCATCCACAGTTGGTTGAATCCGCCGACGCGGAACCCGCAGATACAGAGCACCCACAGAAATTTTTTAAAGTATGAACTTTAAGCTTTTAAGGAAAAAAGAAGATAATTCTGAAATAACCAGGCTGAATTTGTGTGGTTGAGGTGGAAAAAAAATTAAGTGATGTCTCTAAACTGGTAGATGAAGCTTCCAGCATTTCACTGAAAACCTTCAGCTTTAGAGTTTAACTTACAGAAATTTCCTCTACGAAAAAGTGAAAATAAATTTTTTCTATTGAAAATTGTAAAGAAGTCAGTGTAAGTGTCTTAGAATGATAAAATTATTCTGAATTAAGACATCAGCATGAAGACCATGCTTAGTTTAATTAAGTCTCTACTAGTTGATCGTAAATAGATCAAAGCTATCAGATGTATAAGCTATTTTCCTTTGACTTCAGAGTGCGACTTAAGTTTTCCAAGACATTGTAATGTGTGGCTTGGGAAATCTCCTGACAAATTGTTAAGGAGGTGCTTTGATGTTAGTATCAACATGTTCTAAGGAGCTTTACTAATCGTGGAGAATGTTCTGTCCATCAATTAGAACTCAACAGTGTGCTAATTAACATTCAAAGATTAAACAGGTTATCTCTGAATTCCAGTTTTTTTTTAGTGCTTGTAAACTGCCATATCAAAAAGAAGTAAGCTATAGAAATTCAAACTTTCTCAAATACTGAAAATAATTCTGCATTCCCATCAGTGAAGGGATATCCAAGACGTGGAGTGCAGCCTGGCCGCCCGGGACATGGCCAGTCACTGGAACAGAACTGCAACTCACTACGTGAGCCCACTTGGACCTTCCTTAAGTAAAAATATGAGGAATTCAAGCATTGGCAATTTAATCAAAAACTGGATATCACAAGACTGGGATTTAATTGAATTTCCATTTTAGGGATGCTTAAAAAGAATATTTTGAACATCCGTGCTACACTGTTTTCCTATTTTCTCAGCAAGAGCAATGCCAAAGTAAATAAAATAATCAGAGGGAAATAAAGACACACAGGCACACACGCACACACACACGCACACACACACACACACACACTAAGCTCTGTATGTTAACACCTCCTCCTTGTATTTGCTCTAACTTTCTAGTTATGAATTCACTCGGCTTTAAGTCAAACTTATAGGAAGAAACCCCAGAAGCATTAGTACTTCTAACTGTTACTCTTGAACTGAATCTGTGAGATGAAAGGTTAAAACAGCAACAAAAGACTAAAAAGCAAACATTTTTTTCTTTTAGTCCCATAGTAATATAAAAACAATAGTAAACTAAAATAATCCTTATCTCTCAAGTTAATATGATGATTGATGTCAACCAAAAAATTCTGGTGAGAATTTTAAAGTAACTTAATAATTTATCTTTATCAAACCTGTTATTATTATTATAGCTGTTTTCATTATTATTTTAGCATGTTGAGAGAGGTCTTAAAAATAATATTAATAATAATAATAATAAAATTAACTCCTCCTAAATTGAGTTACTTTTATTCTAACCTGATAAATCTTTCTTTGTATTTTTCTTTTATTTTGATAGCAGGGTAAAATAAGTTCTTAACTTCAATATTTTGTTAAGTGTTTAAGTGAACATGGCCCACTGCTCGTTACTCAGTGCCTTCATCTTTGGTTCACCTGTCACGGGCAGTGGTGTTATTACACAGCACGTGATTTTTGGTTGGTTTCACTTTCAGCTCCCTGCGGAGGCCAGTACACTGGATCGGAAGGGGTAGTTTTGTCACCAAACTACCCTCATAATTACACAGCTGGTCAAATATGCCTGTATTCAATAACAGTGCCAAAGGAATTTGGTAAGAATTTCTTTTAATTTTTAACTCATTGTCATATTTATTTCGGTGTTAATTTTCTGTCATTTTCTAAACAAATATTCCAGCTTTAGATATAGTAAAATAATATAAAAGAAGACGAGTCATATTAAAAGTAGCAGGTTTTCCAAACGTGTCTTACACAATATCCACTACGGTTCTTCTATCAAGGTGATGTGAAATGCTTAAGTTTCCTTCCAGGATTCTCATCCAGATTATTCTGGATGAGAGAGAGAATAGGTCTGGCTTTGTTCTAATTCTTGTTAGAAAGCATTTTTCACTTGGTTGTTTTCATGTCTAAGGGAGGATTGCAGGGTACATGTGGGTCAGGGGGACACTGGGATCAATTTGCACTTCCTTGGCGTATACATTGAGTGATCAGATCACGATGGAAATCTCTGATCAGTGAACACACCCTTGAGCGATTAGAGATGTAAGAACAGGCAGAGTCCTAGCTGAGCCCTCGAAGGCTAGCTTCCTGAGCTTTCCTCCTAACCTTTGGTTCCAGCTGGGCCAGTTTTCAGGAACGGCTTCACTTCTAGAAGGGCCTTCTGTGGCGGCTCTGTGGTGATGTATCAGCTCTGGATTCCTGCATCTCCACTCTCACTCCTGACCAGGAAAATGTCTTTCGTGTTGGATTCTTCTCTGGAGTAAAGCAGAGAGTAACTCTCATAATTTTCTAAAATAGTTTCTTTTTTCCAACAGTAAAATTAAAACCCTACATGGACAAGGTTTTTTCTTTACATTCAAAATAGCAGCCACCTACTCATAGAAATAAAACAGATAAAAATTCTAATGTTAGAATTTGTTTGAGGCAAACATTTAAAAAAATACAATTATATGACAAGAAAGTTAATTGTGGGTAAGAAGCTTGCGTATGGGAGACAAATGATTTCCATGAATTTCTATTATTTATTATTCACAGGGCTCTTAAAATCTAATGAAAACTTCCATGGGCACTTACTTCACCCTTAGGTGTCTTAGAACATGGGCCCTCAATGAACTGGGTGATGCAAATTGGTTAGTATTTTAAGCCAAATCATTTAGCTTCTATCTTCCGCCAGTTCTCAAGAATGGTCGAGTTTTCGGGCTGGGCTGTCCTTACATCATCTTGCTGTGTTAGGAAGACAGCGTGTCATCTGACACTTGAGGAATGAGTGGATGGATGTGTTCATGGACCAGGGTGGAGGGACACGCTTCCCAAAAGGCAAAGAGTAGGCCCACTGATTCTATGAATGCATGGCTGATATCACTCCCATTTGAAAAAGGAGAGACTGGGCTTCAAAATGTTTCCTTGTTATTATAAATGGATGATAAAACTCAGAATGTTCCTAGATTCAGACCCGTTATGCTGGACCAATTCCTCTAAAGTCCCTTATTTGGCATCACTGAATTCTGTATTTGAGTAAAATACATTTTTTTCACCTAAATGCTCAACAATATTCCTCCAATTACTACTTTTCCATGAATTTTCTTTTTATTTTTATTGATGGATACCTGAGAAAATATATTTGTCACAATGGAAAATAGCAGCCATATTGTATCATTTTAGTTTATTACAAAATTTTATTGTTGTCACACACAATTATGATTTTTCAACAGAAAAAATGTCATACTCCCTCTTAAATACTGATCAAAATTTCCCAGTCTGAAAGGTTTAATGACAGACATTTATCATATTCCATCTGAGCAGAAAACTTTACTTTGGAATAAAATAGTTAGATGGAGTATTTAATGAAATCTATAGCGTCTTATGTTTACTTTTTTCTCCTCTGCCTTACTCTTTCCAAGGAAATAAAATAATTCAACAATTGTGATAAGTGCCAAGATGAATAAAACACAGTCCGTACCCCTGGGATGCCCACCAAGTACTATGGGATGGGGTGACCATCTCTGGGTAGGAAGGGGCTATAATTGTGGTGAACACAGACCCCAAATGGGAAGTGACATTAGGAGAGGTCTACAGATACCCTCCTTATCTCCCTGTGCTTATCAACAGCATCACCGAAGAATCCTTTCCAAAACAAGAATCTGATCACGGAAACACTTGATAAACCTCTTTCACTCACTTCTTCGCCCACAAAGCAAACTCCACGCTTTTCAGTGTGGCCTCCGAGACCCTAAATCTCAGGCTGCCGTGGTCTTTGTGCCCCAATTCTCTGCTTTTCCCATTATCCACTGACGGTTAGCCAAACCAGACCATACACCACATTTGTCACCTCTAAAATGTTCCTTTCTGTGTTCCACTTGCAGAAATAAATTCCTTGCACTCCATTCTTACACAGAAAAGGGTTTAAAATCTCATTCTTCAAGGACTAGCTAAATGCTCTCTCCTCCACGAGGCATCAGCTTTCCTACAGTGGGAAGCAGGCGCTCCCAGGGCTTGCATCCGCTGTTCGTCCCCTCCTTGTCACTTCCAGCTGCAGCGCGGGCATCACTGGCCAGCTTGTGGCTCTTGCCAGACGGCCGCGTGTTTGTGCGTCAGGGTTGAGAGTCAGTCACAGGTCAGGACTCGGCCCCAGCAGCTCATCAGGGAGGCTCAGTGACCATCTCCCCAAGTCTGGTGCCCCCTCCTTTGCTGACATCTACACTGTGAATCTGTAGTTGTTGTGGGAGCTACTGCACACGTTAGCGCGTGATAGTTCTGGAACAAAGTTTCTGACCTGATCATCCCTTTACTTTTAGTTTCTAGCATCAAGTTGATGCTTTCTAAATGTTTCTTGAAAAGAGATAGGAATTATGTGTGTATGATTCACTTTTGTACTATTTAAAAGACCCAAGCCTTCTGCCTCCACCATGATGAAGATTTGATTATTAGGGGGAGAGTGTTTGAAGGAAGGAATTGTGTCAGCAAGAACCTTGCAGAAATCCTAAGGTTCTGTCCCTCTTTCCAATTCTTGTATTTAGAGCACTCATCCGTTGAGAAGATCCTCTTGCTCACGTGCTTCCTTCAATTGTGTTTCTCTTTAGGACATTGTAAAATCTTAAAATACAAATATATATGTTTTATATATGTGTATGTGTATATATATAATAGAGTATATGCACACATATTATATATAATGTAATACACAATATATAATGTAATAGAATGTACACATATAGAATAGAATACATATATATGTATATACACATGCTGTTATAGTTAAATTTCCCTCCATTTTGCTAACATTTACATTAATTTTTTAATTAGAGTTCCGACGTACATTTAGAGTTCCGATGTGTACAATTGATACACACGCCTCCATTTCTTGTTCAGAATGATTTTAAACTTTGCACATAAGTAAGAGTTAGTTGCTCATTGCTTGTAAATATATATTAAATCACAAGTTTTTCTAAATATTGTAAAGGCCCTGTGTATTATTAATCTGAGCACACAAACACTAAATTTGAAGAAGTGAAATATGTGATTGTGTTTTACCTGGAGGAGGCGTGTTCTTGCAACTTATATGACCTGTAGGATAAGTAAAATAGAAGAGTGGAATTACAATAAGCAATTCCTTCAGTATGTTGCTGAATCATGGGTTTAGATTGCAATGAGTTCCTATGAATTTGACATTATAATTATCTTAGGTGAAGAAATTTAAATTAGCATGCTTTAAAAGCCAACAGGTCTTGATCCCTATCCCTATGTTCACTGAATAAAATGCCATCAGTTATTCTAAAATAAATAGGAAAGATTTATGGTTATTCTTCCACCACCCCAATGTAGTATTCATTGAAAGGAAAACGAATCTTCATTTAATGTTCCAACCATATAAGGAACAGTAATTGTATTCCTTTGATTAAGTTTCAAGATCAAGAAGCAAAATAAAATTGCTTATTTTGCTAAAGGAGCTAAAAACTTTTAGAAGACAGGGAAAATAAGGTAATATTTATTTTTTACAGGATTCTTAGGATCATGATCTCTGGGGGGAAGCAATAAATATGAAGTACCAGAAAATCTCCATTTCTTTTTCTTATAGAAGCATATTGTGCTCCCCCACCTTTATTTCACAGTGGTGTTCGGACAGTTCGCCTATTTCCAGACAGCGCTGAATGACTTGGCAGAATTATTTGACGGAACACACCCACAGGCCAGACTCCTCAGCTCGCTCTCTGGGTCCCATTCAGGTAAACTTTCAAAGAATTTTGTCTTTAATTCTATTTCGACAGCTAGGGTGATTAATTTTAAACTTGTCTGTGTGTGTGTGTAAAGGATAAATTTAATCATCTTTGAATTTGCTTATTTATTTAGTAAGATCTTATTTTCGATTTAAAATTGCAAGTGTATTTTTGTTTCATATATAAAACCACCTGCCTTTATCATTTTACGTACTAAGGTTGTAGAAAATATAATATCCATCTCAATCAAAAAGGAAAACATCAGAAAAGAAAGAGATAATAAACCATCTTGTGTGTTTTATTTTCTATTCTATGTGTTGCAGTCTTTTCCCTGGAGATAAACACTACTTGGTTTCAATCATTCAAACCTTTAAATACATCCCCTAGACCCCCATTACACCCACACATGTGCACAGGTGCTTATGTACGTACAGCTACGTGCGTGTGCGTACAAATGTGTGCATGTAACACACGTGGGACTTCATAAAACACAGGATATTATTTCAAAACATTTTTTATCCCATGCTTTCACTTAAAATCACATGTAAAGGTCTTTCTCTATCAAAAAATATAAATATACACCAAATGTAATTACTATTAGAGCTGAATAGTATTCGGATGGGTTAACGAAGACCGATTTTTCTAACTCAACTCCTCACAGATGGCGTAGCCCTTATTTGTACCACTGCTACATTTTCTTCATCTGCCAAAGCACAGTCAAGTCATCTATCCACCTCATAGGCTTTGGCCAACCAGGGTTATGATTTGGTTATTTCCAATTTCTCACTACTATTTATCAAAGGTCTTAAGACCTGTGTCTTGTTACTTTCTACAAATGTCCCATGATGTCATGTCTAGAAAGGCATCAGAAGATACACATTTAAAATATTGATACATAATAGCAAATTCGCCTCTGAAAAGCATATGCCATTCACATGCCTCTCAGCAATAATTTGAGAGAGACCATTTCCATGTTGTACGTGTACTTTAAAAGGTGAAAAATATATTTCACAAAGCTCTCTTTGAATCTGTTGTTTTAATCAACTTTGGATTCAGAGACATTTTCTTAATTTCAAGTAAAATCCTAGCAAGTAATTATCAAATAAAGATGAGTCTGAGTCAGCGATTCACCCAATACTTTTATTTCGCTCCTTGTCAGCTAATAGGCCTGTTATCAGGGCTTTCTTCAAAACAAAGCATAAATGAGATAATGACTAAAAGAGCATTTTAATAGAATATATAGGAAAGAACAGTTTTAAAATCTTTATAGAAACAATGTGTTTGGGTCCTAAACCCCAAAGTGAAATTTTATACAAGTTCAAAAATGAAACATGAAATTCCAAGTGAATAATTATTTTCCAAACTATTATTGTCTACCACAGAGTTGTGTGTTTCATGAATCCCATGCATTAGCTCGTTGTTTGTTGGTTTTTATTTTCCCAGGTGAAACGTTGCCTCTGGCTACATCAAATCAAATTCTGCTCCGATTTAGCGCAAAGAGCGGAGCGTCTGCCCGAGGCTTCCACTTCGTCTATCAAGGTAAGGGTTGCTCTGCAGGTTCTTTCCATCTTCTCCTGGCACAACACGTACCACTGTTTTCAGTTAGAGTGCCAAAAATGTCTGAGCTGCGTTTTTTTAATATTTAAGAAATTGAAGGTACTCATATATTTATAATAAAAGTACTTAATAAAACTATTAAAATATTTCTTTAGACACTTAAATATGATATTCCTACTACAAAGATGCAATAACACCTCATTATCTGGCATTATCAAGAAATAAATATTGACCAAATTACCTTTGTATAGCACTTCACATTTTGCAAAATAATTTCAAATACATTATAATATTTTATCTAATTAGGTAAAATATTTCATAATAGTTTATATTTTAGTAACTATTTTAATGAAATATTTTAAGGTACTTTATGAATTTCCAAATCTTATTGTAAACACTGATTGAAAAGGCAATTTAACAAAACCAAATAGAACCCCAATTACCATCCATGCTTCTATTACTCAAAATAAAATCCTTATTTTATTTTGTTTGTGTTCTATTAACTTTTGGCACTTCAACACCTTTGTATTTATAAAAATTTTGAATTTAGAGCTTATTCAAAATGCTTGAGATTGCTCAAAGTTTCTGAAAATGAGGGATTTTTCTCTATTTGTAGTTCACCTTTATTTTGCACATTCATTATGTGGATTTGAATGAGTGCCATATAAGCTGTTCATGCACTTTCCGAAGCACGGAGCAAGCCTTTGGAATTACCTGTTAATGACTCTATAGATTGAGATCTGACAGAGGTTGTCATCTTCAGACATAAACTGTGTGTTCAAAAATAAGAAGCAAGGTCTCTTAGTTTTTTCAGGTCTCAATTTTGCTTGAGACTAGATAGATTACTGGCTGCTTTTAAATATTTTCTTCAGAAGTGGAGGAGAATCACTTGCTAGTCATGGTTTTTCTCTCCTTTAATAAAGACTTCTCCAGAAAACATGCTTGACAACATTATGTTTTTCAAAAGATTATGGAGAATAACAATCTATCATATCATTTATATTTCTAATCATCTCACACTGCAAAGTCCATGCCCTCAAAATATTTCACTACAACAGCCCTTCAGTGTCAGCAGTAAGATGATTTAAAAAATAATGGAAAGAGTGAGAATGGTGTTTGACAGGCAAGTTGGAGGAAAATATCTCCATTCCAGTTTCAGCAGTAATTGCTTAAATGATGATGCTATTGGATTAAAATTAGTTACATTGTTCTAAATTATACCTTTTATTAAAATATCAATGATTAAACCAGTATTTTTAAAAATGGACTTTATTGGCGAGTGGCCAGTTTAGGCAACTCACCTGTTACCCACTCCTGATTTTCTTCAAATAAATTCTATATTGCTTTGCAGAAGCAGATTTGCAAACCAAAGTAAGTTAGTGTGGTGTATAAAGAAACTGGATCGCTTGGTTTAAGTACATTTTTTGTCCTGGAAAAATTCAACTTACTGGCATTGTCTGCCTTGATAACGGGATTCCTTTGATTTTTGATAAAGATTAGAAAATAGGTCACGCCATCAGATAAAATATCTGAGGCAATGACTGCGTGTCCATCCTATTTTCAAATGTTTTTCTCATAAGTCATGATTTTAAAAATTATGTTTCTTGGCTTAAAGTAACATTATATTATCATTACAATGTATAAAATACAGAAAAGTAGAAAGAAAAGGAAATCCTTTATAGAAGGAATATATTTTCCTTGTACTTAAGAACATATGATTTTAATATCCTCAATATTTTATAAAGTTCCAATATACCTCCTTTTCTTGCTTTGTTCCTACAGTGAGTTTATGCAAAAAATTGATGTCTTTTTATCAAAGCTAAATCCTTTGGAGGGAAAGAAGTAGGATCATGAATGCAATATATAAATCACTCAGGAGCACCTGGGAAGGTTTCCAATACATATGAAAAGTTAAATTGAACATTGCCTTCTGAAAGAGAGCCGTTATACGGAAGCCTAGAAATGATTTGAACTCTATTGTGTAAAAACTTTCTGAACAGTATTTCCATCTACCAGTGACGGCTTCATTCTTTCATAAGTTATTAAAGCTTAGAATTGCACAGGAACTTTATGACTTCCGTGGTTATAGGGTATCTCACCCTGGTGACAGACCGACAGTCTGTTATAGAGAGTTGTTAGAGACGTCAATGAAAACTAAGTGTAGCAGTGTCAGTATGCAGAAAACCTGCATGGGACCCCCAAATGCTGAGATCTCATCTCTAGCCCTCTGCTCCCGCCCCTCCATGCTGACCTGGTTAATGATGTGGAGATGTTGATAAGGAGGATGTTATCATCTTTCTGATCTTGTGAAGAAATGAAGGTATAGACGCTTTTTTTGTTTTTGTTACAAAGTATCCTAATTAACATGTCTTTGCTGGTTTTTATTTGTGTTTGGTTTCCATGCAACTTGGGAGTAGAAGGTATATTTGAAAAATATGAAGGAGAAAAGAGGGTGAGTTACGACCATGGGCACCTCAAAGAAGGCTAAGGGGGTGACCCTTCATAGTACAATGCTTTAAATAGCTCCTCCACATTGTTTATCAATGACGACTCAGCACCTGTGACGAGCTTGGTTTGGCAGTTAGGTGCAATTTAATAAACACTCAAGGACATTGTCTACCCTGGGGGGAATGAAGCAACGTAGTTCACAGGTCACTGGTTACGTAAGGAGTAGTATGAATGGAGACTGAGAGGTGATCTTGGGTTACCAATGTACTTCAGAGACAGTGGGCACCTTTTACAGCATTTGGGTCAGGCATCGCCCTCCGGGGCCAACCTTGCATTCACCTCTGATTCAGCAGCCACTCACCTCAGCTCTGTGATGATCAAATAGAGTTTAGAAGCAAAAGTTATGGTGAGAACATATCACGAAAAAACCTAATTATTCTCTTCCTGAAGTGTGAAAGTGTCTACAGTCGTTCTACCATTCCTGTTTCTGGGCCACTGTAATATTTTTCCTGCATAAACAAATTTCCATGAAGACATAGGAAGAATTCAGTGCTTGCTTTTAAACATGAACATGTTCAAACAGCTTTCCAGATCTCCTTTTAGGCATCCAGAAAAATGTTTTCCCCACCCCCATTCCCTAGCTCCCAGGAATTCTCCAAATGTTCTTGGCAGGATCTCCCATAGCCTTCCCTCCACTTCCTAAGCTCCCAGAGCTGGAGTCCTGTAGAACCTGCTATCACTAAATGCGGTTCTACGGATTTTAATGATCTTTGCCGTTCCAGAGGAAATATTTTGCACTTAAAGTCAATGTATTCTTAGGTCAAGGCAAAAATCAAAAATCACATAGTCCTCAAAACCCCATTACGTTGGAGACTCACCTACTATTTCTTAATAAGTTCAGCCCAGTCTGGTTTTTCCAGTATTAGAATAGACCTTTGATTCTGCTCTATGATGTCGTTATATTTCATATAAAGCCATTTTTTTTAGCCCAAAATACACACCTTTTAATACTAGAATCAACCTTGGCAACACTGGAATTAACATAAGATCCAGTCTGTGTGGTCACAGAGACCAACTAAGGCAGAGCAAATATTCTTCTCTCCTCTCCTGCTTGCTCGGAGTTACGTGCCAATGTATGACAGGGGAGTTAAAAACCATCTACACTACCCTCTCCCTCCCCGCTCTGTCTATGCACATGATTGAATGTGTCTATGTTAAACCTAGTGCTTGACAGTGTCTCATCAATGTACTATTATTTTTAAGTGTCTTATATTTATTCCTGGCTGTTTCCACACGTAGTCTATTGTTCTTGTGTGTTTCAATGTAGAATTCAACACCTCATTCAGTTCCCTCAAAATAGTTCACTCACACCAACGTTAGTAAACCACACAGGCTTACTGAATATTGCAAGGGGAGAAGGAAGCCATGTTTTTATATCAAACCTCCCCACAGGACACAACTTACAGATGTCAATTGTCCGCATCTCTGTCTTTCTGTGTCACGCTTGCTGAGTCTCGGACTCTAACCTAGATTCTCATCTCCTGCCCTCACTGGGAAGCCTCCAGCTTCCAGCTGCCCAGTCTCCCAGACTCGCTAGCTCAGGGCTTTCCTCTTCCAGGATCTTCCTATTGGCCAGACTCATTCTTTTTAGTATTAACATAAACAGACAAAGTAAACGGGGCTGGAAACATGGAAATGCTTTTAATAAGTTTGGGTAGGCAGAATTTATCCTCAAATTTTCTTGGGGCTGGCCTGGTGGCACAGCCGTTAAGTGCACGCGCTCCGAGTCGGAGGCCCAGGGTTCGCAGATTCAGATCCTGGGCATGCACCGAAGCACCGCTTGTCAAGCCGTGCTGTGGCGGTGTCCCATATAAAGTAGAGGAAGATGGGCACGGATGTTAGCCCATGACCAATCTTCTCAGCGAAAAAAGAGGAGGATTGGCATCGGATGTTAGCTCAGGGCTGATCTTCCTCACAAAAAGAAAAAAAAAAAGATTTTCTTTGCTTAAAGTCCTTCCTAGACATGCAAAGACAAGTGTCTGTTGATTTTCCCAGGCCTCATCTCCTTTCAGAGGGCCTAAATTATAAGACTTAGTTGGTTTTCTACTTCTAAGAAATTCACATTTTGTATGAAAAGCTTATAAAATGCATACTGTTTACAAAGAAGATTGAGCTAAGTTTTGTTCATAATTCAGTGATATAGGTTGGGATTCGTTGACTAGTAATGACTTGTCAAATCAGATTTTTCAACTGCTAGACCAGAATGATTTTGAGAAATAGAAGATGTCACTCAGTCACTAAATGAAACAGGAAAGACTGCCTCACTTAGACATTACAAGGTATTTCTACCTGCATTCAGGTTTATTATTACTATTGTTGTTTTTGCTACTTCTGCTCTAAAAGAAGTGCCGTGAAAGAACCGCATGCACATGTCTGTGACTTAGAGCATTTGCGGTGGAAAGGGTGAGGGAACATTCTGTCATGTTATGTTCTTGTTTTCCCCCAAAACGTGGGCAGGCATCCATAGTACCACAATTTTGGGTATTATGAAAGCCCCAGAGAGCAGCGCCCAGTCCCTGAACCCACACAGTAAGCTGGCCTGAGAAGTGGGTCACTTGAGTATCACCTCTGTTCTGGGCTGACCTCATTCTCTGTTCACTTTCTACCAGGATGATTTCAGTTTTGTTTCACAGCAGTGAGAAACATTTACTAAAAGATAGAGAGTAATTACTACAGAGAGTAGAATTGCTCTCTGATGCTGCCTGAAACACCCAGGTGATGGGCAAGAATCGAGGATGGGCTGTCAGGGAAAAGTCATGGAACATGGTTTGATTTTTTTCCCCAGATGTTACATGGAGGTTTGATGTCTCAATTCCATGGCTTTCCTCTGTCCCACTTTCTCAGATATAGTCATGCATCGCCTGACAGCAGGGTATGTTCTGAGAAATGCCTTGTTAGGTGAGCTCATCATTGTGGCAACATCATAGAGGGCACTTATGCAACCCTAGATGGTAGAGCCTACTCCACACCCGGGCTCTATGGTACCAGTCTTGTGCGACCACCATAGTATACGCAGACCATGTTGACTGAAACGCTGTTATGTAGTGCTTGACTGTACTTAAAATTAATCTCTTTTCTTCACTTTGCAAACTTCTTCCTCTAAAAAATGTCCTCCATAATCCAAATGCAGGTTTTATTCCTTTATAGTTATTTTTCTTGAAAATAGACAACTACAAAGTTCATGAAGAAAGGTTATTAGTGACATGTGTCCAAATGACCCTAGATGGTGTGTTTCTCCTCATCCAAGGGAACCTGGAATGACAACGATACCCTGGAAACATACAAGCAGGGATGCTATGTTTGAGGCTCCTTAGATAAGTGTGGAACCTTTCCACAAAGAGCAGGTGCTTTCCAAGTAATTCAGGTCAAGTAGAAAAATTACCACGAGAGATATTTTTCCACTTTTGTAAAAAAAAAAAAAAAATCCTTGAGAATTGAGCATGGAAGCCTCCATGGGGTGTCATTCATTCATTTATTTAATTTTGCTCTCATGCTACTGTTCAGCTGTAACAAAATGCTCAGATATACAAATATGACAAATATAAGTTTTAAGCAATATTTTATCATAAGTGAATATTATAGTTATTCTGCATTCTGCCTTTATTTATAGAAAATAGACATGCTGATGTATCATTAATTTTTTCAACAATAGCTCTTAGACGGTATATAATTTTATTAACTTTTGCCTCCTGATACAAAATATTTCAACACTGAATTGAAACATAGCTTAGTCAAAATATTCCCCTGACTTCCATTCTCCGAGAATTGCTTCCTTACAGCGGTTACCCGATGGTGTCTGTCGTTGTTCACGTTCAACTCAAAACAGGATGCCAGGGTGTTAGGAAAAGCAGTGTGAGACAGAAGGACTATTTTTAAAGAAAATGAGTCTATGAACACATTCTATCAGAGAGCTGTGCTTTTGAATGAAGAAATACAGAGACAGAGAAATGAGATCCTATTGAGACAGTAAATGCAAACTGACTTTAACTGCAAGGGACAAAACAAAATATGCAGATTGCAAAGTGCAAACCTGGCGGATCTGTTTCTCAAGGAGTTGGTTTGGCATGACAGGCCTCTTTGCCAATTGAAGTGTTTTTCTAACTTTATCCCATGCCCCTTTTGATAAACAGAAAAATCTCTCCTGGCTGGTCAATTCTGAAATGCAACCTAAGTAGATCTCTTACTCCCCACATTGGAATAAGGCTCACTGGCAATGCCCACCATCCAAAGACCTTAAGAACACACCGTAAGCCAACAAGCTTGGGTTTTTCCTCACTGTGTCAATGAAGATCATACAGCATGGAGAACCTGGGGACATCTCAGACACAGAGTTCCGGGAGGAGCTGGTTATAGGATTTGGGCCTGTGCTAGGTGATTTGGGGCAGGATTAAAGGCAGTATGATTTTCTTTGGATTGAGTGTTGTGCGGGGGCCGTTGTGTTGTTGGGTATCTTCATTTGTATCTGGGAGGTAAAAGGGACAGAGCAGGGCTACAACTATCCTTAGTAAAGGTGGTTACTCATGTTAACTGGGGAGGGGGATTTTGGGTCTTTTTTGTGGTTTGCATAGTGTTCCTAATAGTGTCTGTGATCAGGCACCAATGCATAGTGGTCTCAGAGATTGTTTATGGTCAACAGAAGGACAACATGGCCTAGCTCTCAGCACCAGGCAGCTACCAGGTGACAGGTATAAGAGCTGCTCCCTCACCCCAAACTGCTCCCCCATGCCCACCCCCTACCATGGAGAACTGCAGGGCAGATGGGAAGACCCTGGGAAGGAGAGGCTGGATTTTCTTCCTAGGGCTGCTTCCAGCAGTGGGGTCCAAATGATCCTTCTCTTCTGTTCCCTCCCAAGTCTTTAGAATGAATAGTTTAATTGTATGTTTTCCCACAGTACATTTTCTTATTATGTTTACGTGAGATTTACCCTCTCATGTAAGTCATTTAAATCATGGTTAAAAATTAACAATGTTTAAGTGTACAATACGGTATTGTTAACTATAGGCACAATATTGTACAGCAGCTATCTAGAACTTATTCATCTCACATGACTGAAACTATACACTTTGAACAGCAATTCCCCATCTTCCCACCCCAAGCCCTGGCAACCACCATTCTACTTTCCGTTTCTAGGAGTTTGACTATTTTAGATTCTTCATATAAATGGAATCATGTAGTATTTGCTCTTCTGCGACTGGCTTATTCCACTTAGGAGAATGTCCACCAGGTTCATCTGTGTTGTTGCAAATGACAGGATTTCCTTCTTTTTTAAGGCTGAACAATATTCCATTGTATGTATATGCCGCATTTTCTTTATCCATTCATCTATCAATGGACATTTAGGTTGTTTCCATAATTGGCTATTATGAATAATGCTACAATGGACATGAAAGTGCAGATATCTCTTTGAAATCCTGATTTCAATTATTTTGGATAAATATTCAGAAGTTGGATTGCTGAATCGTATGGTAGCTCTATTTTTAATTTTGTTATTACATCACAATGGTCATATTATAAATAATCCCTTATATAGTGGCTTTTCTCGCTAGACTCTAAGGTCCTTGAGGATAAGTACAAGTTCTCAGTCATCTATTATCACCTAGCACAATAATTTGGGTGCTTAATTAATCTTAATTGCCTGAATGTCACTCGGTCCGTATGCGGCACTAATTCTCCTTATGCCATGTTTTCTTCATCTGAAATGAGAATATAAGGTGGTCCTCAGGGTTGATGAGAGGATGAAATGTAGATGTGAACATGCTCCCCAGGTCATTTGCTACAGAGATTGCAAAATACATTGTTAATTTCCATGTTAACGTAAGCTCTCGCTAGACTTATCTCAGATCTATTTCCAAGGAAATGTCTTGGCTTCCCGATGAAGATGCAGATGGCCGTGTTGTGTGCTTGCCTCTAGCTGTCCCTCGGACCAGTGACACCCAGTGCAGCTCTGTCCCCGAGCCCAGATATGGAAGGAGAATTGGCTCTGACTTTTCAGCAGGCTCCATTGTTCGCTTTGAGTGTAACGCAGGATACCTCCTTCAGGGCTCCATGGCCATCAGCTGTCAATCGGTGCCCAACGCTCTCGCGCAGTGGAACGACACGATCCCGAGCTGTGTAGGTAAGCGTGCATCCACACGGCGTGACGACTAGCCTGAGGCCGTCAATCCCAACCTCACAGCAGTATTAGAGCTGCCTTTCAGTGCTCGTGTCCAGTCTACGTAAACTGATCATGCTCCAGACTGATTTAAGAGCAATTTATTTTATTGGAAATAATTGAGTAGCAGCCAAACCCTAAACATTATTGTTTCGTGAAACAACTCATAAGATGAACAAGTCTGAAACATGTTTTCCTTCTCAATTCTTATTAAGTATGCCATCAACTCTCAAGCCAGGGGTATACAACATAATTTCATTTGGGGGAAAAATCATTATAATGTTGATTTGCTATATTACTTGTGTAATGCCCTTTTAATAGATTTGTGCTGATGAAGGTTTGAAAAGGAATAAGTTAATGCAGCCTGAATAACAATGACATCATTAGTGATAGTTTATTTGTTTCATTTTGTGTAAGAACCTCTAGTGCAATCATGATTAGCACTTGAATTCATTTGTATGTTTTAAGCGTCTCTTCTCCTCTCCGGATTTGCTCTTAAATCCCATTAATATCATTTGGAGTTGCGTGTCTGCATATAGAAGAGAATACTCTGCAAAGCTCCTTAAATTGTGTAGATAGGTTATTCTAAACAGAATTCACTTCAGAGATGCCATTGCTAGGTACAGTGTCCTTTTACAGACCTTGAAGAGATTTATTTTTAGACAAAAGATCTATAGCTTAGTAGCATGGTAAACAATAATCAATAGTATTGCTACTTTAAGAGAGAACAGACTAAATTTGACCTTGGCTAAAAATGTCATTTAAAGTATATAGTCTATGTAAAATTCCTCCTAATATTTGATCACACAGTAAAAGAACACTAGGCATCAAATTAATGTTGTCCTTCCCTGTAGTTTCTTTTACTAACTATGGTTTTGTCTTGTAGTCCCCTGCAGTGGCAACTTCACTCAGCGCAGAGGTACCATTTTATCCCCCGGCTACCCTGAACCATATGGTAACAACTTAAACTGTATCTGGAAAATCATAGTCACAGAGGGATCAGGAATTCAGGTAATTCCTTCAAGCCCAGAGTCTGCAAATAAACAGGCTTAGCCAGACACTTATGGTTTCTTGCTTGCTTGCTTGCTTCTTCCTTTTTGTATTGGCTATTTTATATACATAAACCATAACCTGTTTCTCTTGTCTTCCTATTTCTACAAAGTGTTTCTAATCCTGTTTTTATATTTGGGAAAAACATAAGTAGATTTTTAGAATAAAATCTATCAAAAGTGCCATTTGTGGAAATTTTCAGATGTCCTTTCCATGGTTTATTTTCTTTGGTTGCCTCTTTCCTTTACATATATATTTTTAATTTTCTGAAAATCCTCTACGATCAGGATAATTTCTTTAAACCAAAAATAAATATTAACTTGATATTATTGTTCGGTAGATTCAAGTCATCAGTTTTGCCACGGAGCAAAACTGGGACTCTCTTGAGATTTACGATGGCGGCGACATGACTGCGCCGAGACTGGGAAGTTTTTCAGGTAAGATGGCACCAATTCCGTTGTCTCTGTGAATCAGGATCATCAACCACTAACAAAATAAATTACAACAAAACATTCAGTGTGGGCATTTCCCTACAAAACTCTTCTCTATGCAGAGTAGTTTCTATAGTGTTGGAAGTCTTAGAGCAAGAACACCGAAAAACCGGTGAGAGGAGAGAAAGCTTGGTTCCCAGTGAGCAGGAGGCAGATGGGAAAGTAGCAAGTCACTACTGGTCAGACTTCTGAGGCTGTGAAGAGCGAATAGTTTAATACCCTATGGACACCACAGGATGTCTTCACAGTGGAAGGTAATTGTGTGAGAGATGGAATGAATTTTAAGATTCCATCTAGGCTGACTTTCTTTCCCCATACACTTGTGGGAGGTGCTTGGCACACTTAGGGACGAAGCAAGGAGGTGGTTGAACAAGGTGGTAGGTGGTATGGTTGGCAGGGTACTTACATGGGAACTGAGGACATAGTAAATATATTGAGGACAATGTGAAACAGATTCCTCACTGTTTGAGAAGGGTGTTAGAAAAATGGAAATGAGGAAGGCTGGTATGGACCTGGTTGTGTTGGATTTGAATTAGAGATAGTGGTGTGAACTCATGGCTTTAATATGTATAGCTATCAACATAAATAAAAATGTAAGTGTGTATGTGTGTGTTTTTGTGACTGTGTACATATTTCCTACCTTTGTCTTTTGAGAGGTAGAGAAGAATAAAACCGCAGTAGCAATGAACCCACCTAGGACCCAGTTCTGGATTTCTAAATACCACTCTAATACATTCTCCCCTTAAAGGAACCAGTGCATCTTGGAGAAATGCTGACTCCCAGTCTCTGGTAGGAAAAAATACACGATGAACCACTTTCTATAAAATAGAAATTTCTGAATCCATACTGATATAAATAGATACACGCACAAATGAAATGAGTGAGAGAGAAAGCTTTCCCTTGCAGAATGCAAACTAATAAATCTAGAAGGAACACAGAATTAGAGTCATCATTTGGCAACGGTTATCACCGTTTGGCAGTAACAAATGATTCAGGATGGAATATCAAAGGATGCTAAAACTGATGGGTAAAGTTCTGATGAGAAACGGACCTTCCCAGTCTCCCTGCATCTCCCCACCTGATCGTTATTCTTTACAAAGGAGGAAAGTCACAACTTCAGAGTGGAGAAGCCTGGCAGACACCACCTTCACCACGCGGTTGTGTTAAGGTCAGCAATAACAGGACACGGTTTGCATTGGTGTACTGCTAAACCTGCTCTCACAACAAACAAACAAACAAAAGAGCTTGATTTGTTGTAGGACTGCAAATACTCCTACCATGGCGATTTCAAGCAACCAGCAGGATGTCACTGACAGGGGAGCTGGAAGGAAGTGCTGTGAACCTGCCTCTGAAACCCTGCAGGAGCCGGCTGCCCAGCACCTCTGAGACCGGGCCAGCAGAGAAGACGGCCTGGGAAGAACGCGGCATCGCATTTTGAGAGTCTTGCCAAAAATGCATTGCCCGAATCTAATCACGAAGAGCATCAGACAAGCTCAAATTGAAAAATATTCCACATGCAAGTACGTGAAATGCAAGGAAAAACTAAGAAACTCTTCCAGACTGGAGAAAACTGAGGGAATGTAAGATTGAATGCCTCAAGTGTTCATGGTTGGAGTCCTTTTGCCGTAAAAGCCATTACTGGCAGATTGCGGAAAATCAGATGAGGTCTGCGGATTAGATGGAACTGTTGGATCTATGTTAGTTTTTTGATTTTGAGAACTGTTCTGTTTTAAGTAATGCCTCTTGAATTTTTACAGGAAATTGGTCATCATGTCTGTAACTTGCTTGTAAATAGTTTAGAATAAAATAATTTTACATATAGGAATTATAGATAAATAGAGATAGATATAATTATATGTAATATATAGAGAGGGAGTAGATATATGGGAGTTTTTTGTACTATATTTGCAACTTTTCTTTAAGTTAAAAATTATTTAAAATTTTTTGAGTTAAAAAAAATGTTTACATGGAGGAAATGACAAATCAGCCATAAAATCTAAATATGTTTTAAAGCATAATGAATATTTAAGATTTTTTGTTCCTATGATACTTTAAAAAGTATTTATATAGGAGATATTGAACCCATTTTAAAATTTAGTTGTCGTGTAAAAACAAACAAGAATGAGTATTTCTCAGAGGTACACATTTCAGGACAAACGACTGACTGACTTCTTAAATAAATTCAAGTTTTTGATTTTTTGTTTCCTTTTGGAAGCCATATGTATGTAGGACTTACATTATAAGCCATATAAAATCATTTTTGGAAGTAGACAGGTTATAAATTTTGAATGAATAAAATAGAGCAAAACTCATACCAATTTGTAGCTGACTATCAGGATTAAAGGGAAGTAAATATCAGTGTGCTGAGAGCAGAATCTGTAGGGACTATAATAAAATTTCTCCGTTTTCTTGGTTATGTCTTGTTCTATCCAGGTCACAGTAAAACCATGGGATCAAAAATATTCTGTCAGTAGCAACCTTTTTGCAGAAATCTCTCCATTGCATTTTGTGTGGTGGGAATACGCTTCTTCTGACAGTCACTCTGAGAAGAGTCCTAAGTGGAGGCCCGGGGCTGGGGGAGGCACGGGGCATGCCCTCGCTCCAGCTGTGGCCGGTGCCGGAGCCAGAGCGTCGTCCCAGAGCCCCTTGGTTAATTGATTCCTGCGTGTCTTCTATGCCACCTGAGACGTCAAGATCCAGCATTGTTTACAGAACAACAAATGATTATATTTCCTAAGAGAAGTACAAACAGGACTGTCATTCATGAATTTGCTTGCTGCAATTAATAACAACATTTTGAGGGGACATGATAATTCACAAAGCAGTTTTGTATATACCACGCATACATGACTCACATATAAGAAATTTATTATTATCTTTATGTTATAGGATTGGAACATATTGAAATATTTTCAGTGTCGGAATTAGGAGTAGAAGCAGGTTTTCTGGTTCTACTGTAACACAGTCACAGAAGACGAACAAACAAAAAAGTCAAACAATGTATATTGAATACTTGTGTGTGCAAATTACTGTGCTGGGGGCTGGAGGCTGTTAAATAAATTTTAAAAAGCATAAGCTAGATCCTCATCTCCCAAAGAGAGTACATTGGAAAACCTTGAGCCAAGTGAGAAGCATTGCAGGAGAAGTGATATCACACATCTGAATTCAGAGGAAAGCTGTGTCACCGCAGACGTGGGTGGTCGATGGAGGTGGTGAGAGCTCAGCGGATTTTCTGTCCTTGGCAGAAGACCCAGAGGTGGAAAGCCAGGAAGGGTGGCAGTGCTTAAAAGGAGTTATAGGTAATTAAATAGAGGGGAGGAAGTCACTGATTATCCGAAATCACAGGGAAAACCAGGCCAAAAGTGGTGCAGATGCTGTAATGAAAACTTACTTGGTTAGATTAGTTAGATCTATAGGAAGATATTGTTCTTTCTGCAAACATCATCCAAAAATACAAACATAATACAACAGTGAGAAGACAGCAAACATCATATAAATTAAATAAAATGGGTAAAAGTCGGTGTTTTGGCTGGATGTCTCTTTCTTGTCTTGACCTTGGAATGGGTCTTCAGTTGGGTCAACAAGCCAGGGCAGAGGACATTTCCTGTGCTGCCTCGCCCTTCTCCTTCCTCCCCGTTAAGTCTCTCCGAGGCCTCGGGCTCACCGTGTTTGCTGACTTAGCAGCCAGCACTTTGCTTCTGGCAGCAGCTGGGGCAGGGGAGAGGGTATTCCTCAGGAAGATGGCTTTTCTTTTTGAAAACAGGCCAGGTCGCTCCACTCCGTAACATTCCCCTATCTGCACTCCGTTAGCTATTAAGTAGTTTCACACAATTATCTCTTTATGTTTGTGCTGACCAGCAGGGATAGGCTTATGGTTTCCCCGCAACAATTGTTCAATTAAAAAAAAATCCAGGGGCCCAGCCAGTGGCATAGCTGTGAAGTGCACGCACTCTGCTTCGGCAGCCCGGGGTTCGCAGGTTCGGATCCCGGGCACTCACCAACGCACCTCTTGTCAGGCCATGTTGTGGCGGCGTCCCATATAAAGTAGAGGAAGATGGGCAAGAATGTTAGCCCAGGGCCAATCTTCCTCAGCAAAAAGAGGAGGATTGGCGACGGATGTTGACTCAGGGCTGATCTTCCTCAGGGAAAACAAAACAAAAAAAAGGAAAAAGAAAATCCATATATCTATCTATCATCTATCTATCTATCTATCTATCTATCTATCTATCTATCTATCTATCAATCATCTATCTATCATCATCTATCAAACCAAGGTCAAATAACAAAGGGGTTAAATTTGCAAACGTTTTGAAGTGTTTATCATTCAGTGCACATTTAGAGTGTTCTTACAGTGAATTGTGCACTAATGATTCAGGCCTGAAAAGACCCCACCTCGCAGGCCAACCTCCCTTTGGCAGCCAGGGAAAACAGATTGAAGCATAGACCCCAAATCGCAAGCAGGGATCCAACTTCCAAAAGAATTTACACAAGCACATTTATGTGCGTGCACACACACGCACACACACACAGAGTCAGTAAAGAGTGGGTGTGGTGTTTTCTTTTCTCTCCTCCATTTCTCACTGTTCTTCTTCTAACGCAGTCCAGTAAAAATCTGGATACTGACTGGCCAAAGACGCCAAAATTACTAGTTAAGACACATGTTCAAAGTGAGGGTGAACCTTCGTAAACCAATGAAAGACTCTTCATGCTAATCCAAGGTCAACAAAAGCTCCTTAATGTATTTTCAGAATGGGATCCAGAAGAACTCATTTGCATTGATGACAGGATATTTTATTGGGATGTTGTTTGCATCTCACTCCACTGGTGTTTTTCCCGGCCTCATTCCAGGAGACAGCCATGTTTTGCACTTGGCTTGGCCTAAATACAGTGGATGCCCATACTCTGGGATAAACCCACTCCTAGCTTTGGTCTTCCAGAACCTCAGCTTTTGAAAGCAGGAGGGATGGTGTAGGCTCGATGTTGAAGCAGTTCAAGTGACTGACAAGAAGGAAGGTGAGAGAGCTCCCCAGGCCCAGGCTTCCTCCAGGAATTCAAGATAACTTGAATTCCTCACAGTGCCACACAGAGGTGGTGGAACATCAGAACGAAAGTGGTAGCCTGATGCGCTTAAAGGCAGAGAGTGTTCCGGCAGTGGTGTGCACAGAGCCTTAGAGCTGCTGGAATCCCGGGAACCACGTGAGTCTGGGGAATGAAAATATATGAAGTAAAGAGCAGAGGACCCAAAAGTTGAGGACTGTTTACCATCCTGGGACAGCAAAGGAATCTCCAGTATTGATGGAGATCAAATTTCCCCAGCTCTCTAGGATAAGGCGCCAGAGCACATTGAAGTTGATTTAGAATTTTAATAAAACACATATCTTACCCCCATGTCTAGAAATAAAATTTGCAAGCATTATACATTTGTGAAAAGATTACTTTGTGTGCAGAGTAAGGACTGCATGGGGAGAAGGCAAAAAGGATTTTGGAGATCAGTCGATGACTGTTTCAGGCAAGAGTTGGAAGTGATGATGGTTGTAGAGATGAGGAGGAGAAGACTGAGTAAAGCTCTAACAGTTCCATATTTTGTATGGCGAGATTGATCTGTTCATCATCTTTAAGCATTTAAAGAAGGTCAAGTCTTTGAGGCTCTGTTCTAATCAGGGAAAGTTCTGCTTTGCACCAAGTCAGATAATAATTGGTATATTTGGAGAGATGGTTAATGGACTTACCTGGGTGATAAACATGTTTATTGAATGAATAAGTAAGTGACTTAGTTTGGGAAATGAGTGGAGATTTTTGAATAAGTAGGAATAAGAAAGGCAAAATGGATCAGAGGAGAAGGGAAAGAGCATTCCAGGCCTTGGGAACACCTCAAACAGGAAAAATGAGTTGTGATGGAGTCGTATGAGAAGAGGCTAGAAATGCAGGCAGTGGTTAGATCATACAGGGTCTTCAGGCAAAATCATTGAGGCTGGTATTTTGTCCTAAGATGATCAGAAATCTATGAGAATTTTAACATGACTTAATCATATGTCCATTTTAAAGATTTTATTTATTCATTTTTTTTTTCCCCCCAAAGCCCCAGTAGATAGTTGTATGTCATAGGTTCACATCCTTCTAGTTGCTGTACGTGGGACTCGGCCTCGCGTTGGACGGAGAAGTGGTGCCTCGGGGCGCGCCCGGGATCCGAACCCGGGCCGCCAGCATCAGAGCGCGCACACTTAACCGCTAAGCCACGGAGCCGGCCCCATATGTCCATTTTAAAAAAGCTTTCAACTCCTGAATAGCAAGTGATTTGGATTAAGGCAACAGTAGAGTCAGAAAACAAGTGAGGAGATTGTTGCACTCATCCTGGTTGACAGTGCTGGTGGGTGGCACGGAGAGGATGGTGGTGGAGTTGGAGAGATGGAGAAAGTGAAACCAAGAGGGATAGAGGAGGCTGGCTAGTTAGGACCTGATGACTCATTGTAGTGCAATATGGGGTCACAGAGGAGGGGAAGCTTCTGATGGAAAGACCTGAGTGGGTCTTGATGGTCTTGACTGACATGGGGAACATGGGAGGTCAACCAGGTTTTACAGGGATAGATTATGAGTTCAGTTTTGCACACATCATCTTCAAAGAGTCTTAGGACAACCAGGTGATGTAAGGTCAGCTGGAGTCCACACCTGGGGTCATTGATTTACTTAAAGCTGTTGGAGGATATTTAAATCATTCAAGTGGAAAGTGAAGGATGAAAGAGAATATTAGCTTTTCAATAATGTTCATCTGTCTTGGGAAATTATGAACTTATTTCCTTGTTTTCTTATTTAAAGTAGTATTTCTTTCTTTATACAATAGCATCATCTTCACTGTAGCTTGTTCTAGTAATTTGTTCACACGGTGACGAGTTTTACACAATGGCTATTTCCTTGGCTCTAGTAAGTGTATGCTTATCTAAAGAATGAATTGAATATAGTAGAGTGTCAAGCATTTATACTTTAGGAAAAAAAGGGATTTAAACTTGCTTATCACCGTCACATATTATAATACATTTCACCGAAATACTTTAAACTTCTGATTGATGAACATTTTTCTTTTGCTCAGCACCTTCCAGTACCATAGCTTCTTTGTCACCCTCATCCTCGGCATCTGTATATCTCCTTCTGATTTATTGGTTGCTATAATGCAAGCTAGAACATTTTAAGTAAAGGAAGCATTATAAAAAATAAACCTATATTTTCCTTTTCACACATGTTTAGTTGAAATCATTCACAAATCTTAGCAGGAACATTATTGAGTATGAATCTCGCAGAGATAGAAAAGGAAATACATAGTCAAAGCAACATCTTATGAATACTGTAATACATTGTATCAGATCTACATTGATCTGCTCCCCCTACTTCCACAAGACCTGCATGTTTAGATTTTGTCCCTTCTTTGTTCAAGCCAAAAATTAAAAAAAAAAAAAAATACAAGTGATTACATTGTTAAAAGAAAGCAATGTGAAAAACCAGTGCTGGGTAAAATACAAGAATTTGTGTATTCATGCACCAATAAGATAGAAAGATGTCACATCTGCTTGAGGAGGGCAGAGAAAATATGTAACTTTTTATTGTATCTAGAAAAACAGAAAGACGCAAAGTACAATGATCAAAGCCAATACCCAGATTAAATAGGTGGCAATCAGACATGCTGTAGGGATTTGTAAACCTAAGCAAATATCCTCATATCTTTTCTATTTGGAGAAGTGAATGCATTTGTAAAGTTAAAGTTCAACCTACATATTTCTTACAGGTACCACAGTACCAGCGTTACTGAACAGCACCTCCAATCAACTCTACTTGCATTTCCAGTCTGATATTAGTGTGGCAGCTGCTGGTTTTCACCTGGAATACAAAAGTAAGGTCAAGCATTTCTGCCTCTGGCTTTCATTGTCATATTGAGTAATTTTCTTAAAAGAAAAATAAACCTCTGCCCTTATTACGCAGTGAAATATCAGTGTTCTAAAACTATGTTTAAAAGTTGCATGAAATCAGATCATATAAAATCTATCTCTATGAAATATACATTATAAAAGACAAACTGATGAGGAAATGTAGAGGTTAGCATCTGGAATAATTAGATGAAGCAACTGCTACGATTTCAGGTTGTTTGTGTTAAAAAATGCACCCAAAATAACCATTTGTAATATTACTGGTTTTCTTGTGAGTGATCACAAATATTCATACTAGCATCCAAAAACATAGAAAATCATAATTTCAAGATACATTATGGTCATGAGCCCTTTCTATTTCTAGTCTCAAAGGCCGTTAGGATAGGACCAGCACAGAGCAGCCACTCCTGTGCCTGCATTTGTATATTACTCATTTTAATTGGAAGAAGGTACCGCAAAGGAGATGCTAACCTTTTAAAAATGGATGTGGGACTGAGTTAATAGTCTGATAAATGGGATGACAAAGGTCAGATTCACAAATCTTCTTTGGCATATGATTATGCAGGTAAACCTTGTAAAAGTGAAATAAGAATTTCCAGTGAGAGTGAGGTTTATTTTAGGACACGTTTTCAAGCACTAAAAATGCTTAATGTTGATATCCATCTCCCTTAATAAGCAGTTGCAAATAGGCAAATACATGGATAAGCTGTAATAAGTGATCCTTTGAATTGAGATAAACAGTTTGCTAGGATGTAAATGCATGCATATTTTTGAAAGGCGAGATTTCCAGCTGATGATAAATATTCTGAACCAGACACAAACCACAGGGCTGTTTCACATTCCGGCTAAATTTCCCTACTTATTATGGCATTTGTATGCAAGTTTATTCCAATTTATTTGAATAGGACTACTGTGGAGACAGTGTAAAATGATGCTGTGGATGTTATTTATGGAGGATATGTCTGGAAAAAATCTGCTACTTTGATACATTTTGTGAACATCTGTAGGTAGGGAACTATAAACCTTATTTATGATAGTGTTAATAAATTCACTAATATTTTTAGCAGTGTTAGAGTTGATGAATGCTCTTTTCTCTCAAAATTATCTTGTGGCTTCTGGCTTTTCACTCACTTGCTACAGAAAGAGGTGCTAGTAAAATAGTCAGTCTACAATTATTATTGTGCACAATTATCCATGTACTTACAGCTCCAACAATATAATTATCTGCATTCCACTTTATTCCTAACCAATGCACTTCATTAAAAGAGAGAGACTAATATATTTCTCACCAAAATGAATCTTGTTCAAGAATCTAAGGTATTGTTTAATTACTTGATGTATTTATTTTTCCTTTTGGCCACACAGAATGCTATATTTTCATTTGCTATCATTTTCTGATGTTAATACCTTCTGATAGTTCACGTCATTCTTGGCCTCCCCTGTATTTAAAGGCAGTCATTTCTCTGTTCTAATTCTTTGTGTCAGAGTTTAAAATTTGAATTGTATAAAGTGTTTGTAGAATTAGTCTTTTTAAGGACAGCATCAAACAGCATAAGGGCAGTTGAAGTGAGTTGCCAAAAGATTGTCTGATATTTTAAATCTATTGAAGTATTTTTGCATCTACGTTAAACTATGTATTGCCAATCTGCAATTCTCTAAATTCATATTTTTCACTAAAATTTATATCCATGAAATAATAATAAAAACAACAACAAGCACGCACTCTATGCAGGTCCCACTTTAAACATGTTACAGCTGTTTACTCATTTGTCCTCAGAACGACCCTGTTTTTGAGGTATGCTCAGTTTTTAAAGGAGAAGGAACAGAACGTGGTGTTTCCAGCCTGCCCCGGTCACAGTCCCACTCCTGGTAACTGACAGAGTGCTGGCAGACACATGCATTTCATCATGAACGCCATTCACTGAACACCAGTGTAAGGAGCCCACTGTCCAGTCAGAAAGTACAGACTGCCGTGTTTTATAAACCATGGCACCAAGGGTCACTAATAGTTGCATATGTGGAAGATTCAGGAGCTTGTGAGTCAGTGCTGGGGATCCAGGTTCTGTGGCCCTAAGACCTGAGCTGTTAACGGCTAGTTCACACCTGCTTCCGTCAGAGGAGTTTCTATTTTCTCATAGGGAAATGAAGACAAGGCCCTGTTAATTACAATAGTCCATTATCCCCAATGAACACTGATAGAATTTTTCAAACATAAAACAAACATTTTTATTTAAAGAGGTGGGTTATAAAATATTAATGATAGCAGAAGCTATTCCAAGGAGGTCTAATCTGAAATGTATAATCTAGGTTCTCTTGCATGGTTCAGGTAAACGCTCAAAGCACCAGCATCTTTGAATGCTCAGTGTGTTCTTGCAGCCAGACATCCTTCCTTTATATTATTTAATTTGATTAGAAATTTGACAAGAGTTATAGAGCAGAAAGAACACAAATGTCACTCTTGCTCTGGGCTCTTTTCTTCAGGAAAATAACCAAATGAAAGCAAATGAATAAACAAGTATCTGGGAACTTTGGATTAAAGATATGTAGACAATGAGGATATTAGTTTATCCTGGAAATTAGAAAATCTGACCTAAAGCTATATGGCATGGAACCTGCTGCCAGGGAACAAAATAGTAGTAACTATTCTTGAACTCAATGTGAAAAAAGCATATATAACATTATATATTATAGCATATTATGAATATAAACTTATTTATTGGTATATAATATATATCATATATATATTATATAAGAGTTTATTGGTTTCAGTGGGATTTGGTGGGAGGAGGACTAATAAGATTGAACACACAAGCCTTATTGTAGTGTTTATATTTGTCCTCTTTGTATTTTGTAGATTTCTTCCCTCTTTTCCTGCCAGCTTCTGGTTTAATATAGCCTTTTCATTGCTCCAGTTTATCCTCACTATGGCTTATTAGATAAAATTCTTAAAAATTTTAATGGTCTCCCTAGAGTTTCAAGTATATACCTTTAATATAGCACAGCTTACCTTCAAATGATCCTATGTCACTTTATGTAGTATAAGAACCTTACAAGCATATACTTCTAATTTCTTCTCTCCATGCTTTATGCCATAAATGTCTTACATTTGATTTTTACATATGCTATCAAGTCCACAAAATATTTTTACTTTTTTTGCTTTGGATAGTCAATGATCTTTTAGAGTGAATAACAATAAATATTTTATATTTACCTTCATTTTTATGATCTCTGGAGCTCTTTATTTTGGGAGATAAATCCAACTTTCTGTCTAAATTTTTTCTGTCCAAAGCATTTCCTTTTTTTTTCTAGTAGTGCAGGTCTGCTGACAATGAATTCTCCCAGCTTTTGTTTTTCTGAAAAAGTTATCATTTCACCTTCACTTTTGAAAGATACTTTGCTGGGTATAGAAGTCTGGGTTGAACGCTTCTTCATTTTCAATATGTTAAAGCTGTCTCTCCATTGTCTTCTCACTCCTTAGTTTATGATGAGGAGCCAGCTGGATTTCTTATGTCTGTATGCATTTGTCCCTTCCCTCTGGCTTCCTTCAAGACTTTCTTCTTTGTCTTTCATTTCCATCAGGTTGACTGTGATGTGTCTAGGGGTGTGTGTGTGTGCGTGAGCACGTGCACTTGACATTCATCCTGTTTCAGGTCCTCTAATGTTCTTGGATCTATGCTTTGATGTCTATTATTATTTATGAAAAACTCTTCTATCATCAAAAGTATGTCTTTGCCCCATCTCTTTTTCTGCTTCTTCCTGGACTCCAATTACATGTCTGTTAGACCATGTGATACTGTTTCACAGTGCTTGAGTGGTCTGTCCTGTCTTATTCACTCTTTCCTCATTGTGCTCCAGTTCGTGTAATTACTATTAATCTTTATTCAGATTCACTAAGTCTCTCCTCAGCCGTGTCAGGTCTACCACTGGGCCCATTGAAGGAATTCTTCATCTCTGATACGGTGGGGTTTTCCCCCTAGAATTTCCATTTAACTTTTCTCATAATTATTGTCTCTCTGCAATACTTACTCCATTTCATCATGCATGCTATCTTTTCCACTAGATCCTTTAACATACTTTAAATGGTTAGTTCCATAACCCTGTCTAACATTTCCCTTATATGAATATGTTCCAAGTCTGGTTGTGTTACTTGCTTTATCTTTGGGCAAAGGGTTGTTTTTTCTTCTTTGTCTGTGTGTGTCTCATCATTTTTCATTAAAGCTGGACACCATGTGTAGAACTAGAGAGTTGGTGTTAATCATATGTATGCCTGGGAATGGACCACTTCTGTTAGGCTGGAGTCTGTCCAGTCAGGACTTGAGCTGGGTTTGCGTTCTGTTGTTGCCATGGTTACTTTCACTGCTTCATAAGCCAGTTCCTCTGGTGCTGAGCGGCCATGGCCATGCACTTATTCTGGGGCTTTTTCTCAATGTTGAAAGTCTACCTTCAGCTTTCAGTCATCCATAAACACCTTTTTGAAAGAGGTAGTCTCCCTCCAAACTCCTGCCCCTCCCTAGTAGTAGACTGCTGTTGCTTGTCACTTGTGCTAAGCTCCCCTGGAATCTGGGCTTGTTCTGTTGTTCTCTTCCAGCCTAAGTTGGACCCTGAGAGTCTGCCCTTGGCAGGTGGAGTGTTCTCAGCATTCCTAACCTCCCTCCAAGGCTGTCAAATTCTGCTTTTGGTTGATCTTTGGGGGAAATTTCCTGCCTGTCCCCAGTGCTAGGAGACTGTCATCTTGGAACTGATAAAGAATCTTGAGCTCATACTGGCTTTCCTGACACACACTCAGATATAAATTTTTTCTTGCCCTCTACCCTTCTCCAAGTTACAGTGCATCTTTGCCTGGGCCCTGGAGGCAACAAATTTTGCTTCCCTTCTCCCTGTGGTTTAACACTTTTGTTTCCTAAAATGGAGGATTCAGGGAAGTGCATGGTATTGCGTGCTCTTTTCTCCACAGAAACACTGATAT